TGACGAAGTCAAGAAGACACTGGAGGCCTCCTCACGAAATGTCCGAGGAACCTTGGTTTGACGGCGCCACTTGCCTTTGAACATGCGTCGCCGATGATCCGACTTCACCTCATAGACCGACCAATGTGGTGTGTTGCGTAGACCGACCACCTGATCATAGTGGTGAAGTAAAACCTGCAGAGCTTGATGAAAACGTTCAGTGGGTATGGATGTGAAGAAACCGGAGAGGTCCTGTGATACCAACTGTATATATTCCGTGGGCTCCTCATGCGATAGCATCCCAAAGCTGCTGTACTAGCTCCTGAACTGAAAGCTGACCAGGGACGTCTGGAAAAGTGACCTTGGTGAGCTCAAAGATAAGGGCGCCGAAGACCGTGAGGAGTGGTGCTGCCCATGTGCGGAAGAAGGAAATGATTGGTCTAGCTTTGAGCCAGTCTTTGGTCGGTTTGGGAAGAATGCGAGCTGTGGGCAAAGGTGCATGAAGTCGAAGTCCCCATGCATAGCGGTGTTGTAGTCGAGCAGGTACCATGGTGACAACTTTGGCGTGAAAAGATGCCGCAGACTCACGGCACAGTGCAAAGACTTCACCTGTGCAAAAGGTCTTGCGCATCAGCATGGAAAACAACGATGGGCATATCACATGAGCACGCGAAGGGAAGTGATCCGCTGGAATTACAACCCACGATGACAGGGAGCGAGCGGTGCGGAAGTCCAGTGAGCACGGTCTTGGACGTTGAAGCGACGTTCGTCAAACAACTCCGTCAGAACAGGTTGATAGTCAGTAGAGAAGCTGGATCTTTGTACATGCCATCGGCGAGCCAGCTTACAAAGCTGCATGTCAAAACGTTGTTGAAGTTTGTTGACATCACCAAAATACTGATCCTTCATGGATGCTGCCATGATGTCAGAGTCAATGTCAGCGTTGATGCGTGAAAACTCATCCAAAATCACCGCATGGGAATGTGCGCGAGAAGTGGTGCGGTCGTCCATGTCAATGCAGCGACACGGGAACGACGTATCAGGGGTCCATCTTCGCTGCCACTTGCGGTAGTTGTAGATCCGGTCTCCCAAGGTGGCACTGCGAGTTTCCACAACCCGGATCTTCGGAAGAAATAAGGAAGGAAAGAGGTCACGGTGAGATGCCACCCAACGCTGCAACCAGGTTCCAAGCTGAGCTTTCCAGCCACGAACATGTAGAGGTGGAAGAAGTAGTTGTGTCATTTTAGTTGGTACCTGGAGTTGTCGCTTACGCAAGATCTGGACAAGAAGCTTCTGAGCCTTGGAGCGAAAAGGTTCGTTGACAAAGGTGGAAAGTCGCAAGAAATAGTAGAGTTGGGTGGAGGGGAAGGCCGCCGATTTGAAACGACGCACCAGTGTTAGATCCCAACCGATACAGAGTAGAATAGTGTGCTTGAATGTCATCCAACATCTCTGGCCGCAGTTGACGATGTAGATCAGGATGTAGTCGTCGCCGAAACCGCTTGTGAAGGGATACTGACGTAGGCGAGGATAACGAATGGCGACGAAAATCACCCAGATGCTCACGGAAACCAATTTTCCGAAGAAGTCTGTGTACCCAGGGTGCATTTAAATGCGGGCGTAGCAGGTACTGCCATTTGCTTTCCTGGATCCAAGCCGAGGAAGTAGGAAGTTTGATCTCAACTGGAACCGCACAGAAAAGCCAATAGTTGTTGAATCGCTTCCAATAGTGAAGTGCAGGTTCAAAGAAGGCATGTTGTCCCCGCAGAAGTTGTAGATATTTGCGGCAACGGGAGTGTTCTCTGCGAAGAACATCCTGCTCAGTAGCACCAATGTAGTATGGACTATGCCACGGTGAGAGTCTGAGGTAGACGCAAGGCTGTTGATGGTGGCCCGGATCTTGAATGAAGTCATACAGGTCCGGAAAGCGAGACCGTAGGGATTTGAGGTGTTTCATATCAGCGAAGGTGGAGTGCATGACTTCACACAGCAATGACGTCTTGTAGAAGTGAAGGACCTCAAAGAACGGTGGTATGTACCCATGGTTCTGTGAAATGAGTCGCTGCAAGAAGCAAATCAGCAGATACGAAGTGATCCGACATCTGTGGAGCTCATACCTGTTGGCAACTGTATGTCGGGTAAGTGACATGGATTGCATCAGAATTTGAAGTGCAATCCGAACCAGGGTGAGCACTTCAAGGATGAGGTCCAACTGAGGTAAATGCTGAATCGATTCATACTCATCCGGAGGTACCGTTGGTAGTTGAAGTCCCTGGAAGCAGTACCGCCAGCACGCAGAGAAAAACGATAATGTGTCCAGAAAAGTGGCCAAGGAGTGCCATTGTGCAACGTCCTCAAATATCCCGCTGTGCTGAAGCTCAGTCCACATGATGAATGTCTAACCAAGTGCAGCTACAAGGTGGCGGCGACATGCATTCAAGTGTCAACAAGTAACAAGCAACTCGCAAGACAAGACAAGAAACTCACAAGGCATGACAAGCCCCAAGTTAAGCGCAGACAAGTTTTCAACCGCACATCACAACGCCGCACAGTCGCCACTCCGGGCTGATATTTGAAAGGCAGAAACATTTTACCCGGTGAGTAGTCGGGCCGCTACGATGAGGAGGCACAGCGCTTTGTCCGAGAGCTTGGTGGTGTAGCCTGGCTCCAGTCCCCACAAAGAGGCCATTGAAGCAAACGTCACCAAACGTTGACGTTGGGCCGCCATGGGTTCCAAAGACTTGTTGCCGTTGAGACGGGACGGGTGGTTAGCCCACTTGATCAGCGATGGTACGGTAGTAGTAGTAGGAGCCTGCTTGAGGTATAATCGTGGCTGATCACTGGTCCAGGTGTAGTGCTTGATGATGTCTTCCGGCGCAATCCGTGAAGAGATTGGATAATCCGAGGCTGCTGCTGAGATGGGACATCAAATGACCTGCCGTCAAGGGCCGCCGCACTTACCGTGGGTAGCGAGCTGGTAGGCTTCGAAGACTGTGAGTGATTGACCGGAGGCGGCGTGACCAGCTCTGCATCATCTTTCTGAGAGGGCACCGTAGAAGGAGGCGACGTTCGCTGTGACGCCAAGTACTGTGCCTGGAGCAACTCGTGAGCTCGTTGGAGATTGTTGTACTTCTTGAGCATCTCATCTTCTTGAGCATGGGGTGTAAGAGTCTTATGATGTTGCTGAAGAAACTGAAGTACCAGGTTGCCCAAGTGATCGTGAACCTTGATCCGCTGATTGAAGTCGTCAATGTTAAGTCCCAGCGAATTGGCTAAGTCCTTTTCCAAGGTAAGCAGGTTGAGTGGTTGAGATCGACGGAGCATCGAACAGGTACTCCTAAGCAGGGCCTCGGTGCGGGTACGAAATCCCTCCCACGTCCTGAACCAGGCGAACATCCCGGATGTCCATGCCCGACATATCACGTTGCGTATTGTGTGGGGTGTTGGCAACCGTCATGGGCAGGCTGAAGGAGTAGAGCTGGTTGATGTCCAACATGCCGTCACCAGGTTGCCACTCTTCCGGTGGAGTAAGCCATTCTTTCTGAGGCTGCACTGGCAGCGTGGCTGGATATCCAGGCGCTGTCGTTGTTTGGGAAGGATGAACTTGTGCGTGGCCAGGAGGTGGCATCATCGACTTCACGGTCTTCGCCGGTGTAGGTTCACGAGGGAACGGCATCATGTAGTTGACCGGAGGGTGCTGATAGAGCTGCGATGAGGAGTCGGCTGGTAGTTGCTCTGCGTCATTGGAAAGGCATTGGGTGCATTGTAGCTCGGATTGTGTTGCCAGGAGACCAGGTTGTTCCAATCCATGCCATCCGAGACCAAGGTGTCGTCGTGATCACGTCTGCGCGCTTTACGAGGAGGTGAAGATGGGCTCCTATCCCGTCTGCGCCGAGTTCTGGATCGGTCACGATCATCCCGTCGAGACATGACGACTCAACGAACCCAGGTGATGGCACAAATCAACCTTGAGAAAGACTAAGACCGACAAGCTTCAATTCCATGACAACGCAAGATCATGCCAAGCACAAATCAACACAAGGCAAAGCATGAAAAGATCAGATCTGACGGCTGTCTTCCCTTTAGTGAAACCTCGTTCCTGCTTAAATCGTGAAATTCCGCTGGACTATGATATGAACGTTGAGGTCAAATTTTCCGGCGACCCGGCCCGGGGTCACACGATGGGTACACCCGAGGTTCCCCCAAACTGGGGTAGTCACACTTCAACTCCCAATAAGGGAGGGTGCTAATCCTTCGAGTACAACTGATGAGTCTCGAGTACAACTGATGAGTCTCGAGTACAGCTGATAAGTCTCGAGTACGATGAGTTTCGGCTCGCAAGACGCTTGGCTTTCCGGTAGAATCGAAACCGCTACAGAATCAACATGAAGCACACACAGCGAGAGAAACAACGGGCCAAAAGGACCTTACATCACCAATTCCAGGTAGCTTCGTTGAGTGCGGTCCCTCAGTCATGCCGCACTCCCCTGCGGTTGAAATCATAAGCAATTGTGGTGGCAGGGTATTCTGCCACTCCGCACACACACACACACAAGGCATGGTTGCAATTCTTTCGCAGGTGCCCGCCTTTCAATCTCCTCTACATTTTCCCTTATCTTTCTTTTGTCCAGGTCCAACTCTATCACTCCCACTGGGTTTGGCTTAGTGGGCAGCTTCCCCATTGGGCTTCAAAAGGAACTGAAGTTCAAATCTCCCCAATCCACACCACCAAGCAGGGGTCACCTGTTTTCAGTCGCTTGAATCAAAACACTTGCAGGAACAACAGTCGGGTGTGGTTTTCTCTCTTTTTTCCATGACGCCCCCTTTGTTGTTGTTTTTTTCAGAGGGAAACCAACAAAAGGACCCACCGGAATGAAAGAAAAGGGAAAAAGAAAAAAAACTGTCTTTGTTTTTGTGTTCCTTTTTTTTGGGGGGGGATCTCCGTACCTCAAATACGACGACCCCTAAACCCCTTGGGCCACCGGAAGCGCCCGAAGCGCCCCACGACCCCGACCCCGCGCCTGGAGCTTCTTCAGCACCTCGGAGGCGTCGAAGTGTGCCCGGGTCTTGGGCTTGAAGCCGTTCACCTCAAAGCGAAGGCGGGACTGACCCACCTGAGGTGTCCTTGTTGGGAAAACAGATGGCCCTGGTCGATGGAAGAAAACCAACCCAGCCAGCGCCATCTATAACCAAAATAAGCTAAAAAGGACGCCTATGCGAAGGACGAGCGGGCGATGGGTGCGAGAGATGGGAATGAGACATGGAGTCTGCCCCCATTTTGCAGCGTCCCAACTGGTGGTTTTTTCTTGGAAGAGAAGGACGAGGCGAATTTTTGTGCGAGAGATCTGATGGGCCTGGGTGTCACCTCCAAGATCAGCTCCCCCCCCCATCGCTGCGATCGCTGCGAGAGAAATTGGTAGGGAATGAGAATTGGAGTTTGACCCCGATTTAAACCATGGCAAATGGTTGGTTTCCTTGAAGGGAACCACTTCCTGGGTTCATTCCATTTCTCATTCCCTGCCTATCGCACCAGCAAGAAGGCAATGTTTTTAGTTTGCCCCGTTTGCCCCGCTTTCTAAGCGGGTTGTATTCAACCAAACACGTCAACGGGTCCTACTAGGTCCTCCAGATTTGAGAGGTCAGAATAAGTTGGTACCCACTTTTTGCGGTTTGGTCCATTTCAGTAGGGGAACCCTCCCCCCAAAAAAGGGTAGAAGGGAACTACTGGGGGACCTAGGATATATATATATATATACATATTATACATACAAACCCCCAAAAAAGAAACGGGTGAGGGAGGTCGGGCGCCCTTTCGCTGGGGGACCTCGCCTCTCCTTGGGCCGCGCCCTGAGCCCTGCCTCAAAGGAGGCCTTGTCCCGGTCCCGCTCCCGGTCGTACCTCGCACTCGCACTCCGCGAGTTGCGTTGGATGCGCTGAGGAGTACAAAAGGCACGGGGGTTCGCCGTACTCTGGGCGTTTGAGCCACTAGAAATAAGTACAAAAGCCCTGCGCTTCAAAAGTGGAGAAAGGGGAAACGCTGGGGGGAAGAATAAAAAGAAAGAAGGGAGAGTCTCCGTGGGGAGTATCCGCGGACCTTCCGAATTCTCATTTGTTTTATATAGTCCCTTTTGCAGGAGAGTTTCCGTGCAAGAGTCATCTTCCGAAGAGCTACAATGTAAAGCGGGCTGAGGCGCAGTGCCGCGAAAGTGATTGCGTCTACCTCTGGAACGAACCCAAACTCCTTTTGGCAGGTTCCATGCAAATCCTTTGATGGGCCGTCCCCCCCCTCCCCCTCAAACCCAAAAAAAGGCAGCAAGAAACACAGCGTCCACAACTAGCAAGCCTTGACACAAAGAGCAAATCATGTCCAACTAAAAAACCTTGACACGGAAAAAAGAGCAAAAAGAAGAAGAAACAAAAGGAGCACAACATGTCCAACTAAAAGACCTTGACACGGAAAAAAAGAGCAAAAAGAAGAAGAAACAAAAGGAGCACAACATGTCCAACTAAAAAACCATGACACGGAAAAAAGAGCAAAAAGAAGAAGAAACAAGAGGAGCACAACATGTCCAACTAAAAAACCTTGACACGGAAAAAAAGAGCAAAAAGAAGAAGAAACAAAAGGAGCACAACATGTCCAACTAAAAAACCTTGACACGGAAAAACAGAGCAAAAAGAAGAAGAAACAAAAGGAGCACAACATGTCCAACTAAAAAACCTTGACACAGTACCAAAAAAGAAGAAGAAAAAGAAAGGAAGCAACAAACAACGAGGCTCTTAAGGGTTCCCCTCGCACTTCTTCTTGTCTCTCTTTCTGAGACTCGACGTCTCATTCCTCGGCCCCCGGCTGCCGGCGCGTGGCGTTGTCCCCGAGGGTGAGGTAGGCGTTCTTCAGCTCGATGAAGACGGCGGCGTACCTTTGCTACGGGTGTGCGTCCTTTCCTGTGGGGAACTCAAAATGGTGGTGTTTCTTTTTTTCTGTGGTGAACAGGTACCCAAAAAAGACAACCACAAAGACTTTTCTTTGGGGAACTCGAAAACTGGTGGATTGTTTTTGTTTTTTGGTGTCCATTTTCCATTTTTCGTTGTTTCCATTTATGGTGGTGGTGTTTGTGTCTTTTTGTTGGTTTCCCTTTCAAATCAGCTGCAAAACAGGTACCCAAAAAAGACAACCACAAAGAGATCAACCACCAATACGTGCAGTGGTCAGACTTCTTATGTCGGTTGTGGCCATCGTTCCAATAGGAACTTCTGAGTGATCGTCTAAGGCCCTGTTAAAAATGTCCATGATCGCCCCTGGTCCCCGAGCCGAAGGGTGTTTTGAGCATTGCACCTATGGGTGTCTTTCGTACCTCCAACATGGGATGGCCTCCTTTTGGTGTCCCTTCAAAATAGCCCGGAAAGAGGGCTCCTCAACCAAAAAACGCGCATATGTGCGTTGAGCGTACCCATTTGGGCTTCTTTTGTGTTCGGCGCCAAAAGGAAACCATCTCATTTGGGGAAGTTCCCCCATTTCGACCCCCATGTTAGTCACAATCAAAAACTGGACATCACAATGCCCTCCCCAAGAAAAAAGAACTCAAAGGGCGGCCGCAGCTATTTGGGACTGTCCCCAAGCTTCACGTGTAGCCGCTAGCCCGGTTCGAGACCTAGCAAGCAGAAGGGAGGCTTGAGGAAGGATGCAGTCTTGACAGACCAAAAAGGGGGCAACACATCGGAGTCTGCTTCATAGGTGTCTACCCTGTGTGGAGGGAGTAGGGGAGAACCCTGTGAACGTGGAGCTATTGTTGAACGTGCCGAATAGTGTTTTTTGGTGTGCCTCGCGTTTTTTCCATGATTGTCAACCATGAGTCTCTTCAAAGACCGGTCATTTCACACGGGTGTTTGGTGACTTTCTAAGAACAAACATGCGGAAGGGATGCCCCTAGTAAGTGCGCAGGTCGGATTGATCAGAAGGAGGGCCATTCAAGTAATAATCAGCAGGGAAGCCCTTTCAGCAGGTGGGAATTGCTTTCTTGGGGGGATGGTATGGCCATTTTGATCGATCAAAGAAGTTGACATTCGTCTGGTAAGTCTTTGACCTGGGCCTGACGTGGTGCATTGGCTTTTCTTTTGCCCCACATGCAAATGTGGGCTTCCTTTTTGGTCTGATGAACAAGGTCGCGATCTAAACGGCCAAATGGCATCGTTTACGGCCCTATTGCAAACAGTCATTTTCAGCAGAAAAGTCAAACCAGCTGGTCGACTCTCCCAACCAGGGTTGGTCCAACTGACCCTGCAACTAGTGCAACTGTTGCTAGCTTGTGGATGGAAGCTGGTATTTTCATAGCCAAATAGCTAAAGCTTACCTTGGTCAAATCCATTCTCAAGCCTGAGTTGCCTGGAAGCTTTGCCCGACGACTTCACCACTCTCCAACCCACAAATGCCACCACTCCATTATTAAAACTGATCGAGTTAGGAAAGTTGCCAGAAAAAACCACCAGGGACTGCCGTGTTTCCCTTGTTTCCCTTATTGGTCCTCCAGTAGAGATAAGGGTACCAACGTTTTGCTGCAGTCTATTTTAGTAGGCGCACCCTCCCCCAAAAAAGGGTGAGACAGGGCACCTAGCTGGGGGACCTAGCCTTCTTGGCAATATCTAGAGCATCCACCGCAGCTTTCCTGGAAAAACACAAATTTCCTCGCTCCCTCTCTCCATGCCAATGCCGCAATCCGAGCGGCTCCTCCTTCTGCTCCGCGCTCATGCCGGCGGTCTTGTCGGGATGGTAGACCAGGGACAACTTCTTGTAGGCCTTCACTCGGCCGCTAATTACCCTCCCCCAGACTAACATGGAAGCTCAGGACCCCTTTGGAAGCCTTCTGGGAGCTTCCATGTTAGTCTGAGGGAGTGTACTGTCTCCCAACCTGAGACCATGGAAGCTGCCGAAGGGACCCAAATCGAAACGGAAGACTTACAGTTCCATTTGCAGAGCCCAATTGGGGGAACGGCCGACTCGCTATCTCTCTCTCTCTCTCTCGAAAAATGCGGTTGTCCGTCTCTCCAAGAAAAGATGGGTGTCTCCTAACCTGAGAATATGTGGGTGTCTCCCAACAAAATGTGGGTGTCCCACCCCCCCCCCCCCAAAACAAACAAACAAACAGGTGTCCTGAAAAATGTGGGGGGTTCCAAAACTCGGGTAACGCCCCAAAATGATACCACTGAACCACTGGGATCCCGGAACCTATGTTTAAACCGCATTCGAGCAACCTCCTTGGGTGTTTCTCAAGCTGCTGTGGATGCACAAAATCCATTTCGCACCAGTTGAACTGGACGACACCCCTCTTTTTATAGTGAGATAAACCACTCACCAGCTGTCCTTAGCCACAGAGAAACTTCCCAAAGCCATACCCAAGAAAAGCCATAGAAATGGATGAAACGCCATAGAAATGGATAGGGTGATGCCCACCAAAGGGTCCGTGGTCCATTCTTGATTTCCTTGAAGCCAGCTTTGTTCCAATGCGTGCAGTGGTTGGTACTGGGTATGAGTCAAAATGCGAAAGCATTGTTCAAACTCGTGCAATGGTTGGTAGGTATGTGTCTAATTAAGGGGGACTCCGTCGCAGTCCAAATGGCACATCTCCCTTGGTTTGGCTTTTGCTTTCACCCTTCCTCCAGCAGTTTGTGCTCCACCTTTCACCTTTTCGTAGCCTTTCCTTTGGGGGCCAGCCAGTTTTCAAAAGGCGGACGTGGTTCCCATTTTTTTCAGCCCCCCCCCCCCCCCCCCCCAATAAAAAATAAAACAAGATAGAAATGAACAATGGTGGCCTTCCTTTTGGTCCCCCTTTTAAAAAAAACACCAAAAAAAGGAGTACCCTCAAAGAAAGAGCTTCCAACTGGTCGCTCCTTTTGGGGTGATCCAGCCCATCCGACCTGAGAATATGTGGGTTCCCAACAATTGTGGGTTCCTCCTCCCCCCCAACAAAAAAATACACAAACCGGCTTTTGGGGGTGCTTCGGCCCAGCCCATCCGACCGAGCCGGCCTTCTTCACCTCTTCCAGGGTCGAGTACTCGTCGATGCCGAGCACCTCCCAGAAGCCCAGAACTGAGGCTCGGCGACTCGGCGACTCGGCGGGGGGCGTCTTTTTCGCCTTTTTTTTTTTGAGGGGTACCGGCTTCTTGGGTGCTGTTAACGGGAAACGAAAAGGGAAAACCCATGGGGTAACCTGCCTCTGTTTGTTTCTGGGTACCCCTTTTTGGGTGGGTTTCAAAGGGACACCAAAAGAAATACAACTGTTTTTTGCAGGGGTGCCCTTACAAGGGGACCACACCCGTATGGCGGTCGTCATGTTGGTGTCGCTTTGAAAAAGGGCAGGGTCTTAAGAAACACACCCCAAACAAAAGGGAGGTTGTTGAAGTCAAAGAGATGGGTGTTGTCTTGAGTGTACCCCTTTTGGGTGTTTTTTAAAGGGAAGCCGAAAGGAAAACCCCCATTTGGGGTGTCTATTGTGTCACAACACCCATGACACAGACCCATGTGTGTTTTCGTGTTTGTCCTTAGCTTCTTCTTGTCGAATAGTTTGATCATCGATCTCCTTCATCCGCAAACCTTCTCCAGACTTTGTGGGAGCACTGGTTCCCTAAGAACCGGAAAACCTCTACGGGCCTGGGACAATTGGGGGGAGGGAGTCCCCTGGCGTGGGACGCATGTAGCTCCAGGGACCCATATGTCAACATGTTTCCTGGAACGAGAAGCCTACCTATATATATATATATATGATAAAGGAAAGAAACAGAAAGGGAAAAAAGGAAGAAAAAAAACGAGAATCGCTTGAACATGTATGAGGCCTCGTATGCGCGAAACAAAGGTGTATCTGTCCATGTTCCTTGCCGAATGACGCTCGATTTTGGATGGCAACTTGGTGGGGCATGTCAAGCCCACCACCGGGTGAAAAGAGATCGCACAAATCACTTGGTCAAGGGGAGCGTGCCTTTAAGTGTTCCAAACACAACCTGTCAAAGGAGGCTCGAAAAGGGGAAGTTTGACTAGCTGCTGCACAACCCTTTTGCAAGAAAATCCCCACCTGGCTTCTTGAGACGTCCCTTGAAGCATCATCCCAAAGCAAACCCGGCCGTGACATGTTGGAACCCAATTCTTGATGACTAACCCCCACAAAAAAAAAAAAACCAACATATATTGAATATATATATATATATAACTATAAGGACCCCCTCCGACCCCCTCCCCAAGAAGCCCCAAAACAAAGAAACCGGCCCAGGTCACCGAGGGCCCGGTGTTCCAAGCTCGCCAAGGAGCGTTTTTTCTTTTTCCGCCAAAGAAAAACTCTTGGGGCGGAAGTGCTCCGGATCGGAGCCGGATGGGCGGAGCAGGTGATGGGTCTCGAGTTTCTCACCCGAGTTCAGGGGGATGCGAGGTGCTCCAGAGTTGAGGCGGTTGGAAGAAGTTGGTACCCACCTTTTTTCGGCTTTGTCTATTTTAGTAGGGGAACCGAATCTCCCAACCAAAAAAAAGGGGTGAGAGGTCGGGCACCTAGCTGAGGGGGACCTGGGATAAGATTCACCCAAGCGGCTGGTTGGCGTGGGAGTTTTCCCATCCCAAGGCGCCCACTTGATCAAAGATCCCAAAGGTCTTCGCCGAGATCGGCTTTCGGCGACCTCATCGTCCTTTTGTCGAAAGTTGGCGGAAGGGAAACCAAAGGAAACCATTCACCATTTGGGCGTCTCTTTTTAACGGACCCCTCCCCCCCAAAAAAAAAGTTAAGTGGTTTGCCTTTCGCCAAAAAACCTTTTGCCTTTCCCTTAAAACCACCAAACATAGGTTACCCCCAAACAATGACATACCCATTCGTCTACTGGGTGGTTTGGTCCTGAACCGGGTTTCCACCACCTTAGGCCTTGCGTTCCCGGCCTTGTAGTAGTTGATGCCTGCGCATTCCGAACTGCGGGTGCGCGAGACTGCCAAAGTTCCAAACCCGGTTTCAGCAGCGGGTCCGAACCCGCAAACGGATGGTCCGCTACAAACCAAAGAAATGAGACAACTGATGTTGAAAGTATACACAAGTACCACCACTCCGAGGACACTCCTCTACGAATGAGTCAGGTTGTGTATTTTTCCTTGTGTTAGCCCGGAAATCTGCTCATCCCGGAAAATTTGACGGGACTTGGGGCTGTCTATTAGATCCGCGGGAATAACAAATGAAACCAAAATTATGCAAAACCCAATATGAACAATAATGATACTAATAGTGACAAGAACAATAAACATCAAATGGTATTTCACGGAACCCTGGGCTTAAGCCTTCCTTGCCATTTCGCCTTGGGCGAAGACATTTTTCGTCTTGAGCCCGCGGCATCTGTCAAACTCGTGGGCTTTGGGAGCACTGAAGTCGTCGTCCTGGGCTTGCAGTTTGGTGCTACACTGGGGCATTCAGCACATGAAAACCTTCAAACACATGCAGTGTTTGGCCCAAATTCAGTTTTAAAACTTTGGAAAAGTGTCAATTGCTTCCAAGGTACCTGGACCCTCAACCCGGAAAGAAAAGTAAAAGGGTTTGGCTACAGGAACATCTACAGGACATGACCCCAATACACCCTAAATACATCTAAATACGCTATTTTCCTGTAGAATTGCCTGTAACCCAAACCTTTGAAAAAAAGGACCTTGCCCCAAAATGTTGAGGTGAGTTGGGTCGAAGTACACGTTCTGCCATTCATTTGTCTCCAGTGAGGTAACCAGTAAGATAGTTTCAAACAGGCCACTCTACATGCAATCAGGACGACAGGCTCTCGAATACGGCCCGGGTCTGATGTATGTCCCACTTTGGGCTGCCCGCAGTTGCCTGAGACTGTCTCCCAAGCATGGAAATGGTGCGGAGGATGAGTTGAAGAAAGCTACAACACAATCAGCCTTCGGGAACCTTTTGCTGAAGCCGTTTTTGAGAGAAGATTAGCATACCCCAAAAGGAAACAACTCTTTTCGGGAGCCGATACACTTGTACAACTAGGTGATCTCAACTACTTCGGATTAATCCGAGCATCATACTATTCCGAGGAATACCCCGCAACATGAATCGATTCCCCACTAAAAGCGGGTTCCCACCGCAAGTTTGTATGATCCTCCTTTTGACTAATCCAACGTTGACAAGAGGTTTGTCGATAAAGCAGCGGAACCCATGCAACGTTGGTGGTTCTTTTTGGCTTCCGCTTCAAACCATCCATTTTGCCGGTTACCCTCAAAGCAAGGCACGCCCACATTGTTTTTACAGGACAACCACCCATCCGCGTCTTCCCCATCGGTCCGTCGGCTTGAAGGAGGGATCGCTCTTCTTGCGCCGCTCGTCCCGGTCGCAAGTGAAGCTCCAGCACAGGTCCTGGCGCGCGCACGGCGAGCTCAGCGCTTGGTGCGACACACAGCCGACTGCGAGTATCTCTCTCCCCCCCGTTTTTTCCAGGATTCTTCCGGATGCTTCCGACTCGAGTACTCCAGGCCCCTTCCGGACCACCCATTTTGCAGGACAACAAAAAATCCAAAAGGATCCTTCTGTTGACATGGTACAGGATCCTTCCAAGCAACCGCCTCAAACACCCCATGGACCCAAAAGATTGGTGCGGGAAAGAGGGGGGGGTCCGGATGGCTCCGCGTCCGAGTCGAGCTGACGGAACCCCGCCGGAGCTGTGGATGCGAGCTTCCGGCCACTTGGGCCACATGTGGAACGTGTAGGGAGCATCGTGAGATGGTCAGGTTCCATGTTCGGGAGGGAGGCGCGAAAACTCACAGCTTCCGGAAAAAAGTGGGAAGAGCCCAGCCCCTGCAAACCCGGTTTTGTCACTTTCGGGCTTTCTGTGGGATGGACCAACTCCTGCAATGGGGAATGAAAGAGACTCAAGAAGCCGCCTACGTCTAGTTTGAAGCTGCCCGAAACGACTGGAAGCCACCTCCGTTTTGCGCACGCCCTGCATGAAGGGGCTGTTCTGGAAGGCCCTGAGCGGCGCAGGGAGCCACGCAGAACCAATTCGGATGGATGAAACCTCTGAGGCGAAGCACGGTCTTAGTGAAAAACTAGGATTGAAACCACCCAACTAGTCCACGATGTTGTCCATACTGTCGAGAAACTGGGAACCACCAATCCGAACGAAGTGGACTCTGCTGCATTGGCCAATGGATCATTTCGTCAACGTGACCCAAAAGGCGGTCGCTGCCCGGGAAAGGTGCCTGATTCAGGGTTAAGCAACTCAGTCCCTTCAAAGGGGACGGACCAGGGGGCTGGTTGTTTAATACCATCTTCCCAAACCCTTGTGTTGAACAGTCCAGGCAAGAGAAACGTCCGCTGTAAAGGGACCCCCTTTGAATTGAGGGTTGCAACACGTGCAACGGGGGTTCTGACTTGTTCAAGAAAACAGGGGTACAGTACCTTGCATTTCCCGGAAGTGGGGGTTGAAATATCACGGGCGCCTTTTGAATTGAGCTCCGCTCGGTGGCGCCCAAGGTTTCTAATTTTGACACCTGCTCCCCCTTTTGACTGCACGGGGGTCCGATGCCTATGTTCAGACACCAAACTCCCAGATTTCGCGGCCTCTTTTCGGGGCGCCGGGCGCGTATTGGTCTGCGTTCATCTTGGAAGGCTCCCGCTTGCCGAGTCTCGCCAACGAGTCCTGGACATTCTTTTGGGTTGGCTTGGGAAAAAGAGGGGCCGCATAGCTGGCCTGGAAAGATGTGGTACATAAAATAGAACCCATCTAGACCGGTGTCGTTTTTATTAGCTTCTGTCTAGTTGGTGAATTGGAGTGGTAACATGGAGGGCACCAAACTAACCTAACTAACCTAAAGGACACCTACGGGGGCGGAAGCGAGGCGCGGCGGGTGTTCCGAGAGGTTCCAAGACCAAGGACACTCGATTCAAGCTCCTAGGTCCCGCGCCGTTGGGTGTGAAGGCTTGGTTTGCTTTTTCTGGGGTCCTCAAAGGAAAGCCCTCTCACCCATTGCAATTTGGCCTGGTTGATTTGAAATGGCTGATGTTTGAGGGCAACCCAACCTCAAAACAAAGGAGCATTGGTACTCCGCTGAACAGCCGCAGGTTTGTGCAGAGTCAGTTGGAATCCTGGGTAGCCCCCCCCCCCCCGCAAATCAGTGAGCTTGCCATCAAAGCCGGCAGCTCATCCTTTTGTTGGTGGTAAGTTAACGTAATCAAAAGGCGCCACAGAAGGCCCCCCTACCCGAGAACTGGCCTACAGCCCTAGTCAATTGGAAGTCGGCCCGGTACCCCAAAAAGAAGCCACGCATAGCGCAAGTGGCGGAAGGCTCCTGCTTGAAGCTGAACTGGCCATCGAAGGTGGTCACCGCCATGGCCGCAAAAGCGCGAATGAATCTGCCCAAAATTCGCCCAAAAGTCGGAAGACGCGCGCGCGCAAAAGCGGTATGTATGACTGACCCTTAAATTCGCCATGCGTGCGAAAGGGAAACTAACAGGCACTTGCCCCCCAAAAAAAACAGTATAGGAAGCACCTGGGGAACCTTTTCCCCAGACAAAGCTGGGAGGGAAGAGGTGCGAGTGCCCCCTATTCAAGCCTCCGGCCATGCCCTTCCAACTCTTTTCAATGGCCAATTGACTAATCTACGCGCAGCCCAGGGCACGATCGCACAGTGAAGGGGAAAATGTGTGCTAAGCGCGCCTGAGCCAAAGGGGAGAGCATCGGTTCGCATCCGAACCGCCGACACCGCTGATGTTGACTTGCGATTTTTCACGGGGACCCAAATCAGACGAACGACCACTGGCATCCTTCGCTTCAAGGGGGGCTCTTCCGTGGTATCACAGTGGGAGATCCGGGCAAATCGCGGCATGGTGTCCAGGTGCATCCCGGCATGCTCACCTTTCTGGAGGGGTAATTAGGGGTGTGGGAGGGTGACCCTTTTCAGCTTGGCGTAACAAACATCGACAAAACCCCGCCTTTGCGGGGTCCCCCTCTTTTGACACCCCAAATGAAACAAAACCAAAAGTGGTGAGCCGGGCTTCCTTCAAGCGCAAGCTCCGGAGAAGAAGCAAAAACAAAAACATGTCTCCACGCCGCTGCGCTATCAGCTGCAAGCTGACAAGCTGGGGGGCGACCGAGATGAAACCGTAGGTCCACTGGCCCACATCGTACCTCGAAGCTGTCGACCGAGATGGGCGAAGCTTCCCATTTGGAGGGCGCGGTTTTGTGGGCAGTTCCTTGACCTGATAAGAAAGGACAAAAGGGATGTATTGTACCATGGAACACCAGGTTGTGCAAAACACGCTCGACAAGAATGCCACTAAACCAGAGATTCACCATGGAAACCCCCGTGCTCAACACCGTTCTACAAACAAAAGTGAAAACACTGGGGGGGGGGGGGGGAACACTCTGCAAGAGTTTCACCGAAAGAAAAATACACTCTCCCCCCAAAAAAAAGAAAAAGAAAAGAAGCAAGGGTTTCACCATGGAACAAAACCCCTCAAATCTCCGGCTTTACAGCACCCCCAGACGAATCAACGGTACCCAGTCTAGGTCCTCCAGTAGAGAGGTTACAATAAGGGTACCAACATTTTTCTGTGGTCTATTTTACAGGAGAACCCTCCCAACCAAAAAAGGAATTTTAAGACAAGGGCACCTAGCTGGGGGACTCTAGCAGCCATGAGCGCCCACTCTCAGAGGCACCGAGCACCCCTGGCGTCCGCCACAACTTCGCCACAATCATCACAAGAATAGCAATAACAAGAATGATGATATAGTAATGAATCCTCAGAGAGGCACCGAACACGTCCGGTGTTTTCTTTTTCCCCCGCCACCACTGCGGCCCCAAAAAGCAGATCGAAGCAGATCGGTCTCCGGCGGTCTCAGGCGCCCTGGGCCCCCAGCTCCCGGATGTATCTGGCATCGAGCACCGTCTTCTTGAGCGCCATAGGCCTCGGATGTATCCACCAAAACCCCACCGGAAAATGGGAGATCGCCGTAAAAGGATGAAGTGAGTCACCCCCCCCTTTTGTAGAGTAGCTTGGAGTGATCCCCTATTTTTACAGTATTTGGAGCGACTCCCTTTGCTTTAGAATAGTTTGGAGTGATTTGTTTGTTACAGTTTTTGGAGTGAGCGCCCTAATCTGTGGAGTAGTTTGGAGCGATTCCCTTTGCTTTAGAATAGTTTGGAGTGATCCCTGTGTTTACAGTGTTTGGAGTGAGCGCCCTACTCTGTAGAGTAGTTGTGAGCGATTCCCTTGCTTTAGAATAGTTTGGAGTGATCCCTGTTTTTACAATGTTTGGAGTGAGCGCCCTAATCTGTGCAGTAGTTTGGAGCGATTCCCCTTGCTTTAGAATAGTTTGGAGTGATCCCTGTGTTTACAGTGTTTGAAGTGAGCGCCCTAATCTGTAGAGTAGTTGTGAGCGATTTCCCTTGCTTTAGAATAGTTTGGAGTGATCCCTGTTTTCACAGTGTTTGGACTGAGCGCCCTAATCTGTGCAGTAGTTTGGAGCGATTCCCCTTGCTTTAGAACAGTTTGGAGTGCTCTTTTACAGTACTTGGAGTGAGCCCTGTAATCTGTGGAGTAGTTTGGAGCGATTTCCCGTGCTTCAGAATAGTTTGGAGTGATGTCCTTTTTTCTGGAGCAGTTTGGGGTGACTTCCCTTTTCTAGAATAGTTTGGAGTGATTCCCCTTTCTTTGGAGTAGTTTGGAGAATCCCCATTTTTACAGTAGTTTGGAGTGATTCCCTCTTTTTGGGTTGTTTGGAGACATTCCCCCATTTTTCGAGCAGATTAAAGTGATTCTCCTTTTTCTTGATTGGTTTGCAGTGATTCCCCTATGGTTTGGAGGGATTCCCATTTTTTTGGAGTCATTCACCGTTTGTGAGAGTGGTTTGCAGGCATTTTCCGTGGATTTAGAGCAGTTTGGAGTCATTCCCCATTTGTGAGAGTAGTTTGGAGTGATTCCCCTTTTTTAAGAGCAGTTTCAGGGTCGAGCAAGCCTTCAAGGCCAAAATACACCTTCTTTTCGCACCCCCAGCCCGCAAGGGACCCTCCAGACTTACAGACCCCCAAGGACCCCCCCACCCCAAAGGGTGAAAGGTCGAGAGGGCCAAGCCAGGTTTTGGGGGAACCTTCTACCCTTGCATTCGTCCGTACTGATTCTAGGGGTTGATTCCCCATTCTTTTCATGATTCTTTCCAAAAACCGGCGGCTTCCCCTGGGCTTTTGATGGTTCCTGAAAAGATTCGGATCCCTGGAAGGAATGGACATGGGAAGGTACCCCTAGACTACTGGGCCCGTGGTTCCCCATACTGCAACGAACGAGGGGCGTCAAAAACTGGAAGTTCAAATGGATTTTGTAATTTGCTCCTGTAGGTATGTGTCAAAATAGAGAAACCCTCTATTCTAGGGGTTGATTCCCCCATTCTTTTCAACCATCGTTCTTTTCAAAACCAGCTGTTTTCGAGGGTTTTGGGTAGGTTTTTTAGAAAGAAGGATGCCTGGAAAGAATGGGCAAGGTACCCCTAGATGTATGGGCGTTCATGCTGGCTTCCCTTCAACCTCAACAAGGGGTTCCAAAAAAGACGAGCCAGCCCCAATAAGCACAGTCTGGCTGGAGCTCGGCTGGGCTGCTGGCTCTCTATCCAGGCGAGGACCTCAAGAATTCCATTCTCAGGTTGGGGACCCTTCGGTTGGCTTTTTGGGGAAACCGAAAGGAAACCGCCCCATGTCAGGGGTACAAGCCGTATTTGTCTGTCTTGTGTTTGCGGGGGAAGGCAAGACCAAAACGAAACGGAGTTTTGTGTTCCGGGTCCAAAGCCGAATTTGGAGACAAATCCACATATGCCCGACGCCCCAAGTATTCGCAAACCTGATTGCGTGTTGGGCGTTGCAAAAGATGCCAATGTCAAAAGACGGTGTCCAGAGTTGGAGAAATCTACTCCTGACAGCCTGCAGAGATTCTCATGAGAATTCACCAACCTGCAAAAAGGGACCCCAGAAAAAGAACACTCATGGGAGGAGAAACCCCCGCGTGAGCTCCCGGAACTTAATTTGCCTGGATCCTGCCATGGATAGTGCTTGTGGAACCCAAACAAAGCTTCCCTTCAGACAAAAAGGACCTCTTAATCTAGGTCCTCCAGTAGAGAGCCTTTTTCTGTAGCCTATTTTAGTAGGGGAACCCTCCCCAAGAAAAGGGAAGAGAAGGGCACTGGGGACCTAGTAAATGATCCGTCTGCACAGTACCCCCAACATTTGGACACACAAGCGGGGATACGCAGGGAGGATTCCCTTGGCGCCATTTCCCATATCAAACTTCGTCAAGGTGCATCCTCCCCCGTATCCCTGGTTCCCCCTGTATCCCTAGTTGGTTTCCCTGAAACAAAGAGACACCCCTAGGTTTAAGTCTATTTTGGGGTAGCAAACAAGTGGAACCCTGATCTGAACAGTACCCCCCAACATTGCATCTTTCCATTCTTCACCGATCGACGTTGGCTTGCCGCGCCTGGGCGCGGCCGGACCTTCGAACCGTGGCTCGCTTGGACCCACTTGAGGCTACACCGCTCTCGGCAGCGGCAGCGGCCGGCATGGAGGGCGCCGTTTGGGAGAGCGGCGAAACCGTGAAGGGCCCTCCTGTCCCTTTTACAGGGACAACAGTCTTCCCTTTGAATGGTGCTTGGTGTGCCTTTCAATCAACCCAAGTATAGCCTGAAAAAGACATCCCCAGCTCAGCAAGCCCCGACGTTTCGAGGTTTCATGTTAGTGGATGGGACAAGGGAATCTGGAACTGAGCATTCTGAAGCAGACTGTTGCCAGAACTTTACCACTATGACTACGACGAAATGCTAAAAAACTCTAAAAGCCTAGGGGGGAAGAGGGGGATGATTGGGGACCGAGTGAAGGCTCTGAAGATTTCGATCGAAACCATCCAAAACATCGCGGGGTTTGGCGCCCAGTTGCCACCAATTCTCTGTCTCCCGGTTCGGTCCCTTGGCATGTTCGGATGAAACCCCTTGGGAATGTGTCTGTCTTTATTTTTGTCGATGTACACCTTTTTGGTCTGTTTCGAAAGGACTCCAAGAATAAAACCGGCATGGTGTTCCAGTTCCCTTCAAAAGAAAACGCCGACCCATTTTTGGGACCACCAGCTGCCTTGGATGAAACACAGCGAAAAGAGCAGCTCCAAACCCGGAGCTGGACGGGTTTGAAACCCGCAAGCCCCCCGTCAAAAAGCGGAGTTTGGGGCAGATCCGCGCTCAAACTCTCCTTAAAATGGGTGGCAAAATTGCCCCCCAAGCATGGCTTGCAGATTTCCCTTGTTTCTCTAAAATGGGCAGCGCTTTTGGGCGCAGGTGGTCTCAGCGGCCCGTTCCATGGGTCATTTACCAATTGAATCCTTTCCAAACAGATCAGAGGCGAACAGGAGCGACTTCCTGTTCATTCCCTTCGAAAGCCATCCACATTCCCTGTTTTGGGACACACACACACACACACAAATCCATTTTATGACTACTACTGATCAGTGTCTATTGAGGATTCGAATATCTCTTTGCCCACGGAAAGTAGCACCAATCCGAAACCAACAAATTCCTCCCACTCCCACTCTCCTCCTCCGCTCCCCGCTCCCCCCTTCTTCGCCTGGTTTCATCCAAATGTGGCCAGCAACAAGGCCTTGTGAACAGGTGTCCACAGCCACGTGCATGTTTTTTTTCTCTAAGTCCGGCTGAGGTCGCTTGCATCCGCCGGCAGCGCTTGCCGATGCCTACCAAACGAGGTTCCAAGCAAGACGTTTGGGCGAAAGAGATCTCGAGGCGTCTGGCGCTTCTGCAACTCGATGCTAAGTTGCGGGTTGTCAACATTCTGGAGCCCCGGAAACGGCCTTCAGAGGCAGAAAGTGACACCAGGGTTCGGGCCCTGTGAACCCCGCAAGTCGTTGAGGCATCTGGTCTGCCCGTTTTCTGATCCCCTGCTGAAAGTGACTCACCTTTTAGTGGGTGAAATTCGGAAACCATCACGAAAGTCCAACTAAAAGTCCAAAAAAGGCGAAGGAACCGGATGGCCGGGGGCCAAGGCATTGAGACTATTGCTCAATGGTGATACGATAAGGCTGACCCCGGATAAATAAACCCCTGTTTATGGGGGTGTCCCCTCCAAAAGTGATAAATCCCCACTAAAACCAGGGACACCCCCATACCAATAAATAGGGGTTTATGAATCCTGGGTCAACATTAATGGTAAACCAATGCAGCAGGCTGGTGAGGCATAGAATCATCTCACGATCTGGATTGATGCCATTGCTCCGCGCACTTTGCCGGGCAGTGAAACTTTGCATTCACCGAAAGCCCAGACCCCCAGCGGCAATGGGCCAAAAAGTGCCACCCGATATTTTGGCAAGCCGCTCTTTAAAGGGACCCTTCCCCCCCCCCTCCAAAAAAACCACTAGGTCCTCCAGTGGAGAGGTTACAATAAGGGTACCAACTTTTTCTGTGCTCAATTTTAGTAGGGCAACCCTCCCCCCGAAAAAGTTAGTGAGAGGTCGGGCACTTGGCTGAGACACCTAGACGAGGAAACCGGACACCGCTGGGTGTCTGGGCCGCCGCGGAGGCTCCAAGTTCCGTGCCGGGCGTCCTTTCGACGACGGAGCCCCCTGCGGCGAGAAATCGTTGGCCGCTGCATTCCAAGAGAACTCGGCGCCGAGGTCTCTCCAACCAAACGAAGACGCGAGGGTCCCCCCCCGCCCCCCGAGGAAACGGTGGGCAGGAAGCTCAAGCTGGGTTTTTGGGTGCATTCACTGGCCTCCCCTCGGTTTTTTCCAGCTACCCTGTACCAACCTTTCTTGGGGGAGGGTTCCCCCTTGCATTGACCAGAAAGACGCTCTGAGCCCACTGGGCCAAATGGAAGAGAACGCCCTGGCCACAAGGAAGACACCGGATCGCTCGGGGCATTCCGAGGCATGTCTCACCGCCAAAGAGTCGCACCGGCCTTCCAGCTTCGAATCTGCTTAAGGAAATGGACGCGGATTCGGGGGGTGGGTCGAAAACTGGCCAGCGGCTTCGAGTTCTTGTGTTTTCTGGGTGGAACTTGGGTGCCTCAAGTGTAGAGCGGGTGGACGGACAATTTCCTGCTTCAATTGGGGTGGGTGAAGCCGATTGAAACCCTTTTTGAAAAGTCGTGCATAAATACCAGCTGTGGACCGAGCGCTTGGTTTCCCTTTCGGGTTGCTCAATTTCTAGGGTGGAATGAGAGCAACCCCATCGAAAGTTGGGTGGAATAGTGAGAGAAGGAAGCTGGCATGGGACTGTCTCAAAGGGATTGGACACCCTCGGGATTTTGGTAGTGTGCGTTGATTTTGCCTTGGCCCTAGGTTTGGCGGCGTTCAAGCTAGGGCTTACGCTCCTTCCCCAAAACCAAGGCAGCAGGCCACGTGCCACGTGCATTGGGACAGTGCCCCGCTGCTTTTGAGTGAGGGACCCTTTTTTTTCAGCCGGTAAGGAACCTCGCTGCCAGACTTAAACATCCCCACCACAAGGGGGGCCGACGGGGTCCTCAATTCCAAATAGGTCTTCCCCAAAAAAGGGCATCTTGGAACCATAAATGGAGACCTCCAGAATTCGAACTCCCCCCTCCCTCCGATGTTGCATATTATTTAAGGGACCCGGTGGGAAGACTGAAACGGAACGAGATCTCGGCCTTCAAAAGCATGGATTCGAAAGCAGTTCTCGACCTCAGATGTGCGCGAGAAAAGGCCACCAGACAGCACAGTTGAAACTCTCACAGCCCACAATCCCTGCGAAAGAAAAACAAACCAAAAAGTCGTTTCGTTGAAGTTACTGCATTTTTGTGTTTTTAAATGGCAACCCAAAATGAGAACCGCTTTCTTCTTTTGGAGGTCCCCCTAAAGCAAGACACACCCATGCGCGAAGAAATTTGTCTTGGCACGTGGAGTTGCCTTGCCCAACTCGGTAGGTGTCCGGTTGTCAGTTTCAAGCCAACGGCCAAGCCCTTCGACAGTTGGAACCAGATCTATGTCAACATTTCGGAGACCCTCAACGAACAAACCGGGCTGCCGCTTGCGCCTTTGGGACTTTGGGACTTGCATGTAGCGTCAAATTTTGACCCCACTTGTTGGGAACCACCAAAAAGCCGGTCGCCCAAAACATGACACCCCGAGCTTGCTGCCAGAGCGCTTGGTCAAATGGACACCTGACGAGCATCAAGCTCCAGCTGCCTGGGAGCTCAATTTGCGCGCTAACTGATGATCGACCTCTACGGCTTCGGCTTTTGCTCGAAGTGGTGACGTTCCCATTCCACTCAACTTTAGGGGGGTGTTCCCATTCGACGCGAGACATTGAGCAACACTCGGTCCACAGAGAAGATCCCAAATGGGGTACCCACCAGAAAACACAAGCTCGAAACCGCTTAGCAAAGCCACGAGCCAAAGGGGAAGCAATTGTCAACTCCGACCAAGGACAATGGTGACTGGTCTCCACCAGTGCGCAGGTGTTCCACATCGGAGAACTAGAGGTTTTAGAGAGGGTCAGAGGCAAAAAGACCTGTGTGGGTGGGTGCGTTTGTCAGCTTAGTTCGGAATCTATGCCGATCTTGATTTGGACTTTCCATTGCCCTATGTCGTTTTGTTTTATGCACAACCCTTAAATGAACAAGAACAGGACACGGGGCTTGGGGGTTGGTCGCTCGAGCCGGCGAGTCAGGGGCTTCTCCCACAACCCTGGTTTGCAGGCGTTTTGGGGGGCTTGTGGGCTCTGGTGACCGGAGGGTCCCAGAAATCCTTTGGCAACAGGTGGGAAGAAGACCCTTGGCTCATGGCTCGTGTTCGCCCAGGAAGGAAACCAACAGCAACCGCCATACAAGGTGCTCTTGCAGAAACGGAGCTGAATCACGAAGCAATAGCTTCAATGCTCTGCCAAGCCCACCATAAACTCAGGACACAAAAGCAACAACCCAAAAAACCCTCACCCCCAAGAAAACCCGATCATCTTCCCAAATTTTGGGGAACCAACAAACCAAAAAGAGACCGCACAGACTCCCCCCCCTTCATTTTCTACGGTTTCAGGGCCCCGGGGTCGGTTTGGAAGCTTCGAGGGCCACGCTTCTGAAAGCGAGCGCACTCAGCGCCTGCAGCTCCTTCAGCTCCATGTGACTTGGGGCCCCAGGCTCCAACCAGTCGGAGAACTCGGCTTTGGAATCCCGCAGGCCGCCCAAGAAGTCGGGCCTCGGGGACTCGAAAACTCGGGCCCAGGCGCAAAGACCGGGTGGAACAAAGACGATTTAGGGGGGAAGCAGAACCTAAGCATGATTTAGGGGCTTTATTTGGGTGGGGAAAAAACATCGGGGTTGGAACCTAAGCACTTGGGGATTTTGTTTGGGACCGGGAACCAAAAAAGGGGTTGGAACCTAAGAACTTGGTGGGATGTTTTTTGGGTGCCACGGGGACTTGTGCAGGGAAGCTGGGCCTGCTGCGGGGTATCCATTTTTGGACTACCCCACAGTCGACGTGGACCCAAAATCTCCTCTTGGGAAATCAACGCCTGGATTTAAGTTAACCGTGTAGTCAAAAACGGAACCCTAAGGTCAAAGCCACGAAAGAAAATCCTTTTTCCAACAGATCCAACTGAGTGTCTCCATTAGTAGACCGGTTTGTCCTTCCATCTGTTTTTCGCTTTGCCCGTTCCCAAACCCCAAGAAACATGGCAAGCAGAGACACCCCACCCAAACCCCTCGCCCCCATCGGCCGCTCACGGTCTCGCCCCGGTCTCGCCCCCCGGGGCGTCGGCAGCATCTCCTTGCCCAAACCCTCCAAGGCGGCCTGCGGCCCGCCCCGCGTCACCCGCGACCTCAAGACGTGAGGGGTCGACGCGCGAGGGGGGGGGGGGGGCGGAATTTGCAAAGGCTCAATTTGCAAAGGCTTCATTCTTTCATTCATTCATTCATTCATTCATTCATTCATTCATTCATTCATTCATTCATTCATCCATCCACCCATCCATTCATTCATTCATCATTCATTCATTCACTTCACTTCACTTCACTTCACTTCACTTCACTTTCTTCACTTCACTTCACTTCACTTCTTCAATTCACTTTTCCATTCATTCATTCATTCATTCATTCATTCATTCATTCATTCATTCATTCATTCATTCATTCATTCATTCATTCATTCATTCATTCATTCATTCATTCATTCATTCATTCATTCATTCATTCATTCATTCATTCATTCATTCATTCATTCATTCATTCATTCATTCATTCATTCATTCATTCATTTATTCATTCATTCATTCATTCATTCATTCATTCATTCATTCATTCATTCATTCATTCATTCATTCATTCATTCATTCATTCATTCATTCATTCATTCATTCATTCATTCATTCATTCATTCATTCATTCATTCATTCATTCATTCATTCATTCATTCATTCATTCATTCATTCATTCATTCATTCATTCATTCATTCATTCATTCATTCATTCATTCATTCATTCATTCATTCATTCATTCATTCATTCATTCATTCATTCATTCATTCATTCATTCATTCATTCATTCATTCATTCATTCATTCATTCATTCATTCATTCATTCATTCATTCATTCATTCATTCATTCATTCATTCATTCATTCATTCATTTTCATTCATTCATTCATTCATTCATTCATTCATTCATTCATTCATTCATTCATTCATTCATTCATTCATTCATTCATTCATTCATTCATTCATTCATTCATTCATTCATTCATTCATTCATTCATTCATCATTCATTTCATTTCATTTCATTTCATTTCATTTCATTTCATTTCATTTCATTTCATTTCATTTCATTTCATTCAGTCAGTCAGTCAGTCATTCATTTTTTGAAAAACAAATTTATTTGTTTATATGTGTAATGAATATATACATATATATATATATCTGTATTATATGTATATATGGACCTCTGTATATAAATATATATATAATGGGTATGTATATATACATATATATATATATTATTTATATATGGATATATATATATATATATCATGTGGATGTATATATTATACATATAGTGTGTAGACATATAGTTAATGTTGCACCTGGTTTAACATCGGTAGTCTGAATTCTGTCAAGTTTCCCCGGATTAAACACGACCCCCCCCCCCCCCCCCACTGCCTCGGTACCATGATTTATGTCAGGTTCCACCCCAAAAAACCGTTGAAAAAATATGACGCAAAATTCGCAATATGGGCAACTGATTTCTCCTCTGAGCTTCCTGGCTCAGTCCCAGAAGTGAAACTCTGCAAATCTTTGGTTGCTCAACCTGAGACGCTGCGGGCCTCAAAATCTAAAAGTTTAGCAAGGGACCAGGCCAAGACTTGAGCCTCGGAATTCCTGATTTGATCCCAAGCCCCAACCAGCAAAATTCTTTACTTAAATCCATCCAAAAACAAGCCCCAAACAGTCCTGCAAAGGGGGTTGCCCACAAGGGGGCCTGATCCTTTTTGAGGGGCACTGTTTGGGTACCATGTTTAATGTCCAGTCTTAGGGGTGGGTGGGATAGGAATCTCCAGGTCACATCTTAGCCTCTTGCTTTTAAAAGGGGCTCCAAATCTAAAAGCTTAGCAAGGGACCAGGCCAAGACCTGAGCCTAAGAATTCCTGAGCTGATCCTGTCAGAGCTCGGCGCCCTTTTTCCTTGGGCAAAAAAAAGGGTCTGCAGTATGTTCAAACGCAAAAGCGGGGCTCATGCACCCCCTTCGGCAATCTGCCGAATAGGATTCGCGCTCCTCCCAGCTCAAGACCCATTCCGCGTCTCCTTCTTCTTGAAGACGCTGTCTCTTCTCCTTCTTTATGTCCGTCTTGATCGCCTCATCCAACGCCGCCACCAGTCCAGGTGCCAACTCCTCCCAGCTACTTGACTCGCGGCTTCCTCCTCCGCCCACTCCCGGGCCCCATCCAGCTCAGTACCGTCGGCTTCCGCTTGATGTGGCCCATGGCCTGTTGGTCGAACCTCCTCCCTGACATAGCTCTTGAAATTCTCTGGGTGCTCCTTCACCATCCAGGCGCCGCCCTGAGCCAACACCATCAGGGTCTGCGCATCAGGATCGACCTTCTCCTTTCCCCGGACTGGGTATCCCCCATCACCCTCCATCCAAAGGTGCAAATTCTGGCCCGACAAGATGTCCACCGCCACGACCTCCCTGTCCACCGTAGTTGAACTTCTTCGCGCTCTTCTCAGCGAACAGGTGCAAGGGTGCAAGATCACTCCTGCCGCTCTGGCATGCCTCCTCCTCGCCGCCCTGTTCCTCGCGGAACCTTTCCCGTCACCGGAACCCAGCGCTTTCTCCATGAGGACCTCCGGAACCTCCGGAAACAACCTGCTTCACCTTCTCCATCTCACCATCTCTCCAAGCCTTCGCTGCTCCGGCTCTTCCTGGCACCACCCTTTCCTTCCTGCTTTCCGTTGCTCCTTTCAGCCAACACCATCGCCCTTCTCAGCAGCCCCTTGTTGAACTCCTCCAGCTCCTCGACCAACCTCAAAGCCACCTCCGCAGCAAAACCCGGCACGTTCAATCCTCCCAGATACAGCGCCCCAAGCTCTCCGCCGTGCCCAACGCGTGGCTCTTCCCTCCAGCAGCCTTCCTGACCGCTCCTCTATCCCCGACCAACGCTCCTCTTCGCAGTTCCAGCACCTCTCCCGCTGCCTGTCCAGGCTATCCCACACGCGTGCAAACTTGCAGTTCTTCTCGAACCGGCAGCCCGCATCCCACTTGCACGCCCTGGTCAAATCAACCCCCCTCTGCTTCCTTGGGCGCACCCTCCTTACCTCCTTTTGCCAGCTCCGCCGTCGAGGTACTCCGCGAAGCTCTCCACTCCTTCCTGCGTCGGCCTGGTATCAAGATTCAGCTTCGCCCTCACCGTAGACATCCTGTAGCTGCTCTGCTGACCCAGCTTTGACAACGCCGCCGCAAACTTGTCCAGGGCTGACACCAGCAGCGTAGCGTCTGGCAGGGCCACTCCCAGCTCCAACGCTCTCCTCCGCCAATGCCTCCAGGCCCTCAACTGTTTGGCCACCTCCCCCGGCTGATACAAGATGTACAGCCTGTAGATGATGTTCACCATGCTGAGCTGCCTATTCGCCAGCAGCTCCTTCTTCACCTGCTCCGGGAGTGCCTTCAAGACCATGGCCACCCTCTGCTCCGTGCGCGGCAGGTCCAGGCAGACGACCGGCAGCTCGGGCTTGATCCGCAATCTTTCCAGCGGACTGGCCACCGACCACTCCGCGCAGGCCACCTTTGCGCTGTCGCACACGTCCTCCCACCACATACCGCTGTAGATAGATGTCCTTCATGTTGTGCTCGATAGTCGCCATCCAGTCGCGGACTTCCATCATCCACCAGCTGCGGCAACTCTGTGGCCTCTCGTTCGGCAGCTCCTTCACCTCCACCCTATCCTTCGTCTTGCCGGCACCTTCCGTTATTCCCGCGGCTCTCCTCCTTCCTGCAACCCCCTCCTGCCTCCTTCGATGCCGATCTCGACCTTGTCCACGGTCGGCGTCCAGCGGAGAAAGAAGGGCGCCCGGGGTCCTGGCCCACGCCGGCTTGTAGCTGATCCCGTCCACCACCCAATTCTCCGCACAGGGCCACTCCTCGTCCGGAGGAGGTCCTTCCGGTAACCTGGTTCCGCCCGGAGTCCTTTCCAGCTTCTGGGTTTTCCCCGGCGGGGGCGGTGGTGGTGTCTCCATCCTCGGCGGCTTCACCTCCTCTTCTTGCTGCGGCGTGTGAAATTGCTGCGGCGGCTGCTGCTCCAACACCAGGATCTGGTCCGTCAGCAACTCCACGTGACGTTCAGCTTGCAGCGCCCTTGACTCCCACAGCTCCGCCATGCGCTTATGTTCCGCCTCACTTTCAATCACCACCTTCTCCAACTTCAGCTGCTCTACCCTGATCTTCAGCTCATTCCGTTGCCTCAAGGCCTCTGCCAGGTTCATGCTGACCGTCCCGTACTCCACGAACACCCGGTCCAGCTCCTTCTCCCGGCGATCCTCAGCGTCCAAGCCCGCTCCATCCTTGGCGCCCCTCGACCTGTCTTGCCCGGCGTTAATCCCTGGTCGCTTCTGTTCTTCTCCGTGTCCTCCTTGACTGCCTGGAGGGCCCGGTCCCTTCTCCACCCGTCTCGATTCCCAATTGTCCTACTCTTTCTGGTGTCACGTCACAAGGTCCCCCCACTTTTTGAGTTGTTGTTTGAACGCACCCTTGTTGGTCTTGAAATGCCGCATCTTTGCCCGGACACACGCATCACAGTAAGGGTTTGCGAACTTGTGGGTAACCATGTGTTCCAACGTGTCCGCTTCATGCTTGAGAGCTCCTTTCTTCCTCTTCACGCCCCTTCCCGCTTCAACATCGACCTCAACTTCATCCTCATCGCTACCTCCACCTTCGTCCCTTTCGTCGGCATCACCCTCCTCTACCTCGCTCTGCCGGCACCGGGATTGGTGTCTCGTCCGGCGATGAAGTCAATCCTCCAGACGGATCCACTGCATGATCTTCGGCATAATCCAATTCTCCAAGAGCTGACTCTGTGAGAGCTTCCCCAAAGGCCCATGCTCCGTTTCATCCTTGGTTACCAGGTAAGGAATGTGATCCTTGACACGAAGGCGTACACAGACTTGCGATCATCGAACATGATATGTTCTTCGCCGGGCATCCACAGAAAACCATAACCATTGTCAGCGCATCTCTTTCCAACGCACAAGACCGACGGAGATTCTCCATCACAAAAGGCGAAATTGTGTCCTTCATTTCATCTATGACAAGGTCAACCTTTTGATCGGTTTTGGTGATACCGTTCGCCGTCATAAAGGTCAATCGCCTCTGAACTCATCCTCGGACTGCGACCCAGCTTATCCGCCACAATGGACCCGATCAAGTCGTGGCGGCATCCGGTGTCCATGAGCCATTTCATCCTTTTGGGCTACCACCATGGCGATTGGGTTTCTCTCAGGATTCGAAATCACCGATCACAGGTCCGTCAATCTTCGCATAGTTCTTTTCTATGAGAACAATTTCCATCGTGTATTCGCTGGAAATGGGTACCTTGATGGAAGTCTGCGAGTCACGGACATGGTTTTCCCACAGTTCACCAGCCATTGCGGCACTGATGGCTGCCGTCAGCAAAAATGGGGCAACCCAAACATGGGATGCTCCGCTAAATGGCAACACGGACTAAAGTCCCGCTAATAGCTTAATTGTGACCCATACCCAAATGTTGACCCTGCTTGATTTCAACGAAAAGCAAGAAGGTTAAGTTGGAACAATGAAGAGTCGTCCTCCGAATCTTCAGGCCCAGCCCGACCTCAATACTTTTCTGCAGTCCCATCGGCTCATTACAACCCCAAAGGCTCCAACGGCATAATTAACACTCAAGCTTTTTCACGCGCGCATACCATGGAAGTTCTTGTTCCTTCGGCTATCAACATACAGTTCTAGAGGACACCTCCCCACAACATACATTTCTAGAGGACACTTCACAGTTCCCCGTTCTTTCCAGGCATCCTTCTTTTTAAAACACCACCCAAAACTTCGGGGAAACGGATCCGGTTTTTGAAAAGAACGATGATTGAAAAGAATGGACAAGCAATCAACCCCTAGAACCGTAGCATTGTTCATGTGAAGCCCCATAGATCCCGCTAAAAGTGACTAACTTTCAACTAAAAGCAGCCAACACCTGAGGAAACCAACTAAAAACCAAGAAAAAACGGGAGACAAACCAACTAAAAAGCTAAAAACGAGTTGCACCGGACGTTGCCTGGTTAAACCACCGCTCCGGCAAGCTCGCCTGCCATCAATGGCCCGTCGCTTCGCCGAGACCCTGAACTCCTCCTCGCGCGCCGGGGGGGGAGGGGGGGGGGTGTTTCTTGTTTTGCTTCTGTTGCTCATAGGCAACATGTACAATGCGCAGACATTCCGCTGCCATTTGGTTCACAACCATATGTACAGGCCTGGTGTGACTTGACACTTACCTTGCGGTCAAACAAGAGTGCTTGCAGCATCTATAACATTTATCTCTTTCACCAGCTACGTAGCCTATATACTTGACTTCACCGGAATAGGTTCAGGGACAACCACGAGGTATTATCTATTGGGGCCGCGATTGAGGCAGTCTTCCTTCGCATACTCAGCGCTTCACCCCTTCTTTCCATGATCTTCTCTGCGACGCCTCTCAGGAAATTCTTGATTGCTAACATCACCATCATCGTACTCAACCCAATCCCGGAAAACCACACTCTTTGTCTTCTTCCTTCTTGGGGTAATACAGCTTCGCTCTCGGGGTAGCGGGAACGCATTCGGTCTCAGCATCGCTATCCACGATTTCCTCTTCGCTGAAGGTTGACTCTGCTTCACTTTCAGAATCCTCCCACAACGAACCTGTGAGGCTCTCGGTGTCAGAACCCTTCTCTGCCGGCGCCGCGCTCTTGGGACGCTTGAACTTGCGGTCCTGCCCTTTCTTCCAGAATGAACAAACTCCACCGTTCTTGGGACGCTCGGCTGGGGAGTTGATCATTCTGCAGTGTAAGCACTCTTTAGAGTGCTGCATTTGCAGTCGGAGCCCTTTGTGCACTTCCCACGAAAGAAATGAACTGGCATGGAACACCCTTGTTGCCACCAGGGGAAGGATCTCGGGTTTTGGGCATTTTCGCCTTTTCTTTCGGAGAGGGAAGCGCATTACCCAAACTTGTGATCCTTGAGCGACTTCTCCTTGTTTTCCCAATTATTCTCCTCCCTGGTTGGCCGATCAATCATGTTGAGCAAGTACTTATGCGTTTTCGCGGGGTCATTACGTTCCATGTGTTCGTACAGTTTCAAATCCAATTCCAACTCCTTTGAATTTCCTTTCAGCTTTCGATACAGCGCATCTCTCAACTCCTCCTCTTTGATTCCAGCGATAATCTCAAGCCATCGCTGCTTGAAATCTCCCATCTTCTTGTCGCCAGGATAGGACAACTTGTACAAGTGTTCCACTCCGAAAACAAGATCGAGTCTGTCGTACGTACGGAAGCTCTCGAGAACCATGAATATCATGTGTCTTCCCTTGATGCCCTTTCCGACTTTGATCAGCTTGGCAATCAGCTGCTGAACCTCAAGAGCGACTTCACTCGCCTGATCTCTCGCGGACTGGATCATTTTGCCAATGCTCATCACCAACTTGCTGTCGACACTAGCAAGCCTTGAGCCGCCGCTGTCGGAAAGTGCTTTGACCGTAGCTTTCGGGCTAAATGCCTCAGCAAGCCACGCCGACCAAGCTTCGCTATCAGGATCACCACAACCTGCCAGAACGTTCGACAACAGCTTGCCTTTCCACATGTCCAATTGATCGATCTTTGGCCACGAAGGGACGCTCTGCCTCCTTTCTCGAAATCTTAGTCTCGGTGGCAGCATCGAACGTGGTTGGCTTGACCGGGGAAGTGGACTGCTTACCTGCATTGGGCGTGGTCGCATCACCAAACTTTTGCAACGCAACGGATTGGTCATTGACTAGCTCATCATACCAAGCGGTCAATTTGGAAGGGTACTGAGTCTGGGCCATGCTCTGGACCCATTTCACGTTCTTCTTCATCAGTCAGCTTGTTCCTCCGCCATTTCGGTAGAGACCGGCATGCCGTGACTCTACTTTCTGGCTTCAGGCAACTCATTCATCAGATTGGAAGCCGCCACCTTCTTGGTTCAAATGATCCCTCAAACGATCAACTTTCAGCTTGGCTCGGCTTAAGTTGTGTCTTTGCCTCAATGGTGATCTGAAGCTTGACAGACTCAGCTCTTTGATCGGCCAGCTTTCAGCAGATCGGAACCATTCTTCCCTTGATCCACTTCCGGACAAGTGTTGAATCTGATCTTTCAAGGTTTTGATCTGTCCATCCTTGTTGGAACAATGTTGTTATGGTACATCTCTGCACCCCTCAACTTGGTCTGGTGTCATGAAAGCTCTGGCTGTCCTCCTCTGCACTGCTGTTTCCTCCTGAACAGCCCTCAAAGGTGTCCCCGCCACCTCCTCCTCATCACCGCACTCCAGAACCGGCGGCAAACCCTCTGGTCTCGGACCAGAAGAAAGGGTTCACGCCCACCACGGGCCCTCCTCCGCCTGTCCTTTCCATCGACCTTGATCTTCGGGTAGTAGAGCTCCCTCTCCTGGATGCCGCAGGGCTCGACCTGGTCCGCGAAACACCACCGGGATCTCCGCCCCGGCCATCTGCCGAATGGGCATCCCGGGCTGCTCCACCACCCATCGACCCATCCTCCTCAGGCTCACCCTCGTCCGCCACCAGCGCGCCTTCCCCGGCCGGTGCCCGGCTTTCCCCGCCAGGTCTTACCCGGCCGGAACGCCGCCTCCTCATCATCTCAATGTGCGCGAGCAGTTTGGGCTCATAACCTGTTAGAGCTCGGCGCCCTTTTTCCTTTGGGCAATAAAAGGGTCTGCAGTATTCACATCCCTCATCCATGTTCAACGCAAAAGCGGGGCTCATGCAGATCCCAAGCCCCCAACCATCAAAATGATTTACTTAAATCCATCCAAAAACAAGCCCCAAACAGTCCTGCAAAGGGGGTTGCCCACAAGGGGGCCTGATCCTCTTTAAGGGGCACTGTTTGGGTACCATGTTTAATGTCCAGTCTTTGGCTGGCAACCCAAAAGGAAGTGCTGGCAATACTAAACCAAGTAGTGGCAGCCCAAAAGGAAGTACTGGCAATACTAAACTAAGTAGTGGCAACCCAACAGGAAGTGCTGGCAATACTAAACCAAGTAGTGGCAATCCAAAAGGAAGTGCTGGCAATACTAAAACTAAGTAGTGGCAACCCAACAGGAAGTGCTGGCAATACTAAACCAAGTAGTGGCAATCCAAAAGGAATGCTGGCAATACTAAACTAAGTAGTGGCAATACCAAAGCATACTCAAGTCACCCAAGCCCCCCGCCAAATCCCGGGGGGCCACAGTAAACAAGGTCCAACATTATACATATAAAGTGCATGCTCCCCTGTTACACCCCTTTCATTGCAATCCGAGAACGGGAAGTGGGCGGCCAAATGGTGCCCCCAAACCAAAAAAGACATACCCCCTTACCCCCAAACCCATTCAACCCAAAGAAACCCGTCTTTGATTTTTGGGGTATCTTCCACCCCAAAAAACCACCCGGCCAACGCCAAAAACCCCGCGTGGTCTGAGGCCCTTGGCCGCGTCTTGGAGCTCAGCTTTGAAAGGATCAGCCCCACCGCGTAATGCGCCGCCCGGGCCTTGGCACAGATCCAAAGCCCCCCCCCCCCGCCCCACCCCTCCGGATGGTTGCGAAAACTATTTGGCTGTGGGTCAAAACCCTGTACCCCTGGTGAACATCAAAATAGGTGGCAATTGGATGTTCGTCCACCCGAAAGTTGAGCCATAGGTTATTTCGCACCACGTTTTGACACCGTCAAAACCAGTACTCCCAGAGGGTCCAAGTACCTTCTAAGGAGCTACTCAGACCCCTTTTTACCCCAGAAGCCATCCTCAGGAGGTACTTGGACCCTCTGCGACTTGTAGGTTTTTACAGCAGATATCGAATCAGAAACCGGGGCTCCTTAGGTGCAGGATCTCGTCCATCCACAGCTTCAACTTGAAGCAAGGCGGAGGATGGAATTGACGGTTCACAGTTTGCAATTCCAAGACTTGAGACTGGATCCCAAGAAATCGTGAAGGGCCTGCGAATCGAGCTCGCTCGGTTTCCCCCCGGATCGATGAGCTCTCGTTAGAACAGGCGGATTGCGTCACTCACGCTAAGGTGGGATTCCTTATTGCAAGTGAACCTACCACAAAAACTATGGGCACATACAACAAACTACTGGGTTTCCCTTAGTTCCTCTGCAAGATTTATGGCATCCCCGTACCCTGTGGACCTTCACATCATGTTGGAGCCAATATCCATCCCACAGCACAGCCCGGGGCATGCACCCCAAGTTTGGGGCCAACCTCTGACTGGGTGTCTTTTTCAGGCTACACTCTTTCGGCCGACGGTTTCAGCTACCCAAAAGCTCTCGTTCGGGGTGAAGATTGATCCACGCTGCCCCCTGTTTTTGGCTGGCTTCTTCGCAGAACCAAAAGCCGGGCTGCCCTCTATTTTTCGCTGGCTTCTTCGCAGATTCCAAAAAAACCACCACCCTCCCCACTCTTCAATGTGGCCATGACATATAGACCCAAGCCCCATCTCACACACGGCTCCCCGGGCTCCAATCGAACGAGCCACCGAGCACCCCGGCACCAGCTTCATCTTCGATGAGCTGCACCTGGGACGCCTTCGGGATGCGGCTGGAAGAGTCGAGCCGGAAGGCTTGGCCAAGTGACCGACGAAGTCGACCCGAAACAACTCGATCCAGACATCGAAATCCCCGAAAAGAGGCGAAAGTCCACCGAAAAGCGGGGTCGACTGAAACAGATACAAGTTACAAAAACGAAGAAAACGTGCCCAACTCGAAAAGCCAAAGCAGAAGCCACCCGGACAAAATGGAAGGCCCGGTTTTCTGCCGATGCCACCGCCCGGGTGAAATGCCGGGCTCCAAAGAACAGCAGCACCACATCAAAACAAGCAAAACAAACATCCGAGGACAAAAAAAAGGGATCCGAGACCGAAAACGCTACACAAAGCAGCACAAACCCTTGCCACCCTCCACCTGACTCCCGTGCCGCAGCCTCCCCAACACCCTCCACCCCACCGCCCCACCCCACCGCCCCACCCCACCGCCCCAACCGCCTTCATCGGCAGCGCCGCCGAGCACATGGCGATGCCACGCGCCATGTCGCTGAACCCGGAGAGGCACGCCTAGTCCCGAGGTTCCGAGGTTCCGATCGGTCCCCAGCCCCAAGCAAGGGGAGGAAGGGAAGACGTGGACCCGGTTCTTGAGACCAACTGGTCTCGTTACACGGGGATTCCGGGGGTCATTCCCGAGGTTGATTCCATACAGAGGAACCACCGCCCCACTTTTGAGACGCTCGTTAGCCCAAGTTCCGGTGCGTCCGGTTGGAACCAAGCCCGCCTGCCACACCACGGAAGAGAGATGCCGAACATCCAGCACCTCAGTCACCGAGGTTGGAACCTCCAACCTACGGCCTCCCTTGTGGGCAAGTCTCAGGTGAAAGAGACTTGGGGAGATCCACCTAGCTGGTTTGCTTCCGGAAGGGGCAATCTGGCCAATCTGGCCATCCAGGCACCACTTGGGAGGTGGTGTGTCCCAATCGGCTTCCCTCCCTGGTGCAGAATACCCCCATCAACATGTGCGTTTTCTTGACACAAGCGCCCTTTTCCCCCGTAACTTCAGGCTTCAACCTGACTAACACACTCCAAGTAGAGATGCTTCAGGAAACCAAAGGCCGCTGAAAACCTTCGAGCTCTAAAAATTGGGAACCTTCTTGGGCGGCGAACATGTGCTTCTGAGGCCTGGCCTGATTTCTCCTCTACTGACCAGCCCCAGCCTCTGAACCGCTCTGAGGCTGCTGGCTACGGTGACGCCGCGGTCCTGATCCGGGTTGCTATCCTCAGAGAGACGGGACGCCTCTCGGTCCGTTTCCAGCGCGGGCTGGATTGCACCAGTTCCAGGCCCAAAAAGTGTCAAACCCTGGCCTATGCGGATTTCCAGCCCAAAAGGCAAACCCTGTCCTATGAGAAAAAAATAGTGGTGCCAAAAGCCCCATCCAAACCACTGACCAGTTGTAATTACTGGTTTTTGGAACGGCCCTCAAGGCAGGCGTACCCCCTTTTTTTTGTGGCTTCCCTATCGCGAAAGCATGTCCACCCCTGGGCACGTGCATCCGCCTTGGGGGTGTGCACCACGAAGCGGGTTGCTTTCAATCCCCAATCTGTTTTTGCGCACCGAAACTTCCATTCGCTTAAGCCCCCCAGGAAAAGAGGAAGATTAGTAGTGAAATCGATTCCCTTTAAACCAACAAGGGGAAAGACATACTCATCTGGGTGTGGCTCAAATTTAAAGAGCTGGGGTTACCCAAAACTTGGTACCACGTTTTTGAGCCACGTTGCCATTTCAGCAAATGGACGAAAGCCCTGAGAGCCGAGCTCGGAACGCCGTCTCAAGCATGAACATGATGAGCATTTGGTACTCCTCGCGATGCAAGTCGCGTCTGTTTTCCACAATGCCCAAAGAAAGTACCAAGTGGGTAGAACAGGTGATGCGGAACATGGACTTTACTCCCAAGGGTACCAAAAAGAGAAATTACCAAACGGTGGGCAGAACCCCGGCGAAATCCACCGTTTGACGTCCCAAGCTGCGATGTCGCTCAGCTTCCAAGCGGACTTGGTTTGGGATCCAACACAAAGCCAGATTTGCTCCCTCGACCAAAAGCCGACAGGTTCGCTCCCTACATTTTGGACCCAGGTCCGTCTTCGCAACGAACAAGAAAACAAAAACAACACAAGACCCATTTTTGGTCCGTCTTCGCAAGAATCCGGCTCCGTGAGGCCCCGAGCGCCATGCGACATGCGACATGAAAGGGCTCGCCATGCGACATGATCGACATGCGGCGAAAGAGGGCGCCTCCATGGCGCAAAGCCGCCTCGGACAGACCCAGTGAGCAGCCGACGGGGGGGGGGGGGATATATATATATATGTATATGTATATATATGTAAATATATATATATATATGTGTATATATATATACATATATTATATATATACACATATATATATATATATATATCACGACGGGGTGCACCCGTTAGCATATATATATATATATATGGTACCCCCCCCCCCATGGACCCTGGTTTGGTGCGGTTGACCTGTATTTTCCAGTGTTTTATGCTTCTTTTTGCTTCTTGGATTTGTGTCAAAATTGGGGGGAGGATCGTACATGTATATGATACGCATGCATGCATACAGATGTGATAAAAGCAATGACATCAGCACCTGCAATCTCAAAGAGTTTGAATGCATCCAAGAATACAAGAACAACTCAGACATTTTTAAAAATTATTAAAAATTCTGGGATTCAAGATTCAAGATTCAAGAATGTGAGAAAACATTTTCTGGGAATCTTGAATCTTGAATCTTGAATCCCATAATTTTTAAAAATTATTAAAAATTATGGATTCAAGATTCAAGATTCAAGAATCTGAGAAAATATTTTCTGGGAATCTTGAATCTTGAATCTTGAATCCCATAATTTTTAAAAAGTTTTAAAAATTCCAGGGTTGTCCCAATACTCTCGGTGTTCAATAAGATTCTCGGAAAAGTTTTCCGTGAAATTCAATCCAGTGGTAACGGATGTTCGAGGTGATAGAACAACTTGAACATTTTAGGGGTTGACCAGGATGGATGATTCTCAGGAAAGTGGTGGTTTGTGGGCTCCTCAATATTGATCCCCAATCCAGTGGTAAAGCACTTTCAAGTGTTAGAAGAACTTGAATGCTATTTGGGTTTGGCCAGGATTGACAATTCTCAGGAAAGTGTTCTGTGTAATCTTCAATATTGAATCTTCCATCCGACAGTAGCAAATGTTCAAGTGCTTAGCGATCCAGTGGACACACTTTCAAGTTAAGACAAACGTTCAAGTGCTTTTGGTGAGCTTCATGTCAGCTATACTCATGTTGACCCCTTTCCAGGAGGTAAACAAAGGCAGGTGCAACGCTCAAAAATACTGCATTTTCCAGTATTTTATGAGGAGGCGCAGGATCATTGGGGGTACTATATATGTGTGTATGTATGTGTATATATAGATATACATATGTATGTACGTTCACACACCGTCCCCCACCCTCTTCAACTACCTGTCCACGTTTGCTCATCTACTACCTCCACCTTTTGACATAGAATTAACTTTCCTGCGCAAATAGAACTTTAAATACAACGGTTTAGCTAGAATCCCTGTTTCGAGATAGTTTTAGATTTTGAACCTCTCTTCCCTTGAAATTTCCCTTTGGAACACCGTCTAACAAGTTCAATGTCGGACCTTTCTTATGCTACAAAAGGGCCAGAATGTAAACAACACAAATCCTATTTTTAATTTCCAAATGTTTAGCCATATTTAATATGAATTATATTTGAGATGAGTCTCTTCACTTGATATTATCAAAAGCAAATTGAGTTGTTCGTCTTAGATTATACTTACCACTTGGATTATATTTGGGAAAAAACTTCCATCTAACTTCTTGTGTTATAGATTAGTTGGAGTTTAGCCGAAAATATATATTTACATTTGCATGTAGCTGCTATTTGGAAAGGATTTGCTTGTTTAAGCTGTAATTGAACATAAACACATTTTTGAAAACTATATCCATACTAAACTATATTCAAAATTCCAATTCTAGTTGAAGTAACATCTTATGTGCAAAGGGTATCATACTGGGACATTGTGGAGGACTCCGGGCTCCAAATTATCACGCTTTGGGGACCCACAATTGGAAATTTCGAGAATATAAACTTGGAAATTCTAGATTTGCCATCCCCAAAAGGCAGTAAAACCAGGGTCCATGGGGGGGGGTTGCATATGTATATATGTACCAGTCCCTGGGCCACTTACCCCCCCCCCCCCCCACTGGTATGGTCCCCCCACTCCCCCGCATCATCCGCATCTTGGGATGATGCTGGCAATGCTGGGGATGCTGTCCAGTACCGTGCGAGCCCTGCAGCTTCGGTCCCAGACCCCCTTTTACCCCGTGAACCAACACCCCCGCACCTCTCGCAACATCCTACCCTAAACCAAACCACCCTGCAACCCCTCCTTAACCCCAACCCTAAGCCTAAATCAACCAAAACCCAAACCCACCCGAAACCCACCGCAAACCAACCCTGAACCAACCCTGAACCAACCCTAAACCAACCCACCAAGCCTAAACCAACTCCGAACCACACCCAACCACCCAACCACCCAACCACCACCCAACCACCCAACCACCACCCAACCACCCAACCACCCCACCACCCCACCACCCCACCACCCCACCACCCCACCACCCCACCACCCCACCACCCACCCCACCCTGGGGTGGGGTTGGCCCAACCACCCAACCACCCAACCACCACCCCACAACCCCACCACCACCCCACCACCCACCCACCCCACCCCCACAGGGGGGGGGGGGGGTGGGCGGGGAGGGGGGGGGGGGTCCACGGCCTGGAACATATATATATATATATATGTATATGCGGAATCAGCCAGGGGTCGCAACTGGGCCACCTAACCTCCAAAGCAGCAAAACCACCCTCTTAGTCAGTGAAGCCAAAAGGTGTGGCTCAACATTACACCGCTGGGGGTGTGCAAGTGGTGTAGGCGCCGTTTGAGCCACAGCAACCGGGATTGAAACGTGAAAAGTGAGTCAGCCCCTCTAATGATTTTGTTCCTAGAGGAACACAAGGATTCACACAAGGATTCGGGTGCACATTTGAAGGGATGCCTAAAGACTAGCAAAAGAGTATCTTACCAGCTTGCTGGAACAGGGCCTTTGAGAATGAACCGAGGAGGATCCTTTAAAGGAAACCAGAAGCGATAGCGTGGCTCATTCCATTTCTCATTTCCTGCTGGCTCTCCCAGCAAGACTGCGGGACGAGAAAGTAGAGTCTACAAAAAACATGGCTGTGGGTCAAAAATAGGTACCCAAAATGGAACCCTGGCAAGTGGTTTAAATTTGACCCATGCCCACATCACGTCCAGGCAGCGTAGCACCTGTGTTCGCCGGTCCCATCGAGGGAGTCTACTACCGCCAAACCACCACCAGAGGAAAATGTGGTACATAGCCCCCCCAAACATTTCTACCTACAAGAGATACATATATATATATATATACACATACTTACATATGTATGTATATACGTGCAAGCACCCAACATATGATCACCACTATATAAGCGGTGCTACATGTGTGCCAAACTCTGTCAAGTTTATTGTATGTATACATATATATATATACATATATATATGTATATGTACATATATATATATACACATATTTAACAAGGGGTTGCAACCTCAAGGGTAAACATTCTGTCAGGGTATGCCACATGGCTACCCTCGGGACTCAACCTGTGACCATGCGCCAACCCGGCGGGGGAAGGAACCATTAGACCAATCTTAAGCTCTATTCGAGAGTGTCTTAAAATGGGCACTTGGACCACCACAATGGTTGGTGTCCTTTGGGTTTCCCTTGCAACACACCACCACAAAAAGTTGGCACCCTCGGAAAAAGAATAAGACACACCTGTTTTGGGGGGGGTTCCCTTGGAAAAAAACATAAAAAGGGTATCTAAAAACAAAAACACACACACACACACACACACACCCACCCACCCACCCACGCACGCACGCACGCACGCACGCACGCACGCACGCACCCACGCACCCACACACACACACACACACAGACACACACCACACACACAGACACACAGACACACAGACACACAGACACACAGACACACAGACACACAGACACAGACACAAACACACACACACACAGACACACACACACACACAGACACACACACAGACACACACAGACACACACAGACACACACACACACACAGACACACACAGACACACACAGACAAACACAGACACACACAGACACACACAGACACACACAGACACACACACACACACACACACACACACACACACACACACACACACGCACACGCACGCACGCACGCACGCACGCACGCACGCACGCACGCACGCACGCACGCACGCACGCACGCACGCACGCACGCACGCACGCACGCACGCACGCACGCACGCACGCACGCACGCACGCACGCACGCACCCACGCACCCACACACACACACACACACACACACACACACACACACACACACACACACACACACACACACACACACACACACACACGCCTTGGGGTCCCTCTAGGCACCGACGCTCTGCGCGATTCACAGACACCGAGTCTCCAGGCGTGTTGACCTTCTGCGCTATGAAGATGATCACCGGTGAGTCGCCTCGAGCAAGGCCGCCAAACAGCGAATACCGGCGACAGACTGGTTCTCTAAGCCTCGTTTTCTCTCCCCCCCCCCATCTGTTTTCTTTAAAAAAAGAAGCTCAGGGAAAATCCCCTCAAGACAGAAAAGCACAAAAAAGCACTTGGGTATGGGTCAAACTTATATCACTCGAGGGACTGCAGGTTTTGGTTTCGCCAGGGTTCCGTTTAGGGATTACTCTATTATTGACCCACAGCCATCTGGGTCGCTAAAAGTTCAACTTTTAGTGGTTCAAAAGGGAATCCCCACTAAACACTAGAAGGCTAAAAGGGTTAGGAACCGGATGGCTGGGAACCACCAAGACACATTGGATCCTCTAAATCACCTGGCATTCCTGACGCTTTTCGCTTTGGTTTGCAACATCAGCCCTTCTTGAGCCCAAGAAAGCCCGCGCCTACCCATCGCGGGGGCAGGTACACGTTGGCACCGCTACGCAGCGCCTCAAGAGATCCGCGCGGCGAGCTGTTTTTGGTCGAGGAGAAAAAGACGGGTGACCTTCTGCTTTCATGGGGGCGGGGGGGGAGGGAGGGGAGGGGGAGGGAGCCCAAAGCCCTAATTAAGCCCTTAAACTTCCCAGATTAACATGGACGTCTAATCATAAAATATCACATGGGTACGAATCTTAGCTAGGGACCCGGGATTTATGTCCATCAAACACTTTTCAGGCGGTTCCTCATTAAAATTCGTAGCCATAGAATCCCAAGGTGGCTGTGTGGGTACCACTTTTTTAGCCACAGCCAGGGTCTGAAAAGTCAATCCCGGCAACATACACACCCACACACACACAGACATTAAAAATCAAAACCGGGGGATGTCCAATCGTATCATCCGCAGAGGGACAAGGATTCGGGTGCGCCTTTGCACTTTGGAAGGGATGCCAACAAGAGCATCTTACAGCTTGCTGGTGCTCAGTAGGAGATCTCGGGAATGAACCGAGGGGGATTCCCTTAAAGGACACCACAAGCGAGGGTTTGTGGGGGTCATTCCGTCCTGAGAACCGGCAAGTCTACTCCCCGGATTAACATGGAATCCAAAAAAAACGGGGTGGTTGAACAATCGACGAAACTGGATGTTCCAACACGGGGAAAATGGAGGAACCCCACCCATGTCTTTCTCGGAAACTCCTTCTGACCCCAAATTCGGAACCATTTTTTGTTGGTTCCATGTGGCTGTGGCTCAAAAAACCGGAATACCAAACTGGCTTGCCAGAAGATCGGGTGGAAACCTGCACTCCAAAACCGGTTTGCCCCTCCTGTCTCGTTTCATTTGCCACAGCCATGTCAAGCACCAAGCCCGCGGACTCAAGACTCGAGAGTTCGGATCGATTTCCCCGGACCGGGCCCGCAGATCCCCGGCGAGTGACGAACTTCTGGGTGAAATTCGGAAACGACCCACACCCCGAAAAGGATCGGGGGAAAAAACAAAAACAAAAAAACGAGGAACCGGAGGGCTGGGCACCACCAAGTGGCTACTTGGTCGCTTTGCGGGCCTCGTTTGGGAAGGGCCTCAAACTCCATTTCCCACAAGACCATGCCCCTGTTCACACATGCTTAATCCACTACTGCTTCAAAAGTCTACTTTGGGCTCTTCAAACAGGCTTGCGATTGGATGGTGTCAACTGGCATGATGCGGGATTCTGTACCAAAACGGAGTTGGATGGAACCTTCATTTCCAAACTGAGATAGTGGTTGATCACCTTTCCGAGCCGCCAAAAAAGGCTCAAGCCCACCCATCCCAAGTTGATTGTGCCCGCACAAGGACAGAAAAACCCGGGACAGAAATACGCAGCCCTTTATTTTGGGAGCAGAACAAAAAAATCGAACCCCACCTCTTTGCCGAATCCCAAGTCGCTTGGATGCGCCGAATCCCAGCGATTTCTCCAAGCTGAGGCGCGGGCCTTTTCCACGCGCTGCGCACCTGAGACCAAAAGCCGCCGAGGCCCTCGAAGGGCTCTTACCACAGAAGGATCGATCCTGGTGCTTAAACCCTGGGCGAAGGGGGGGGAAAGGGGGGGGGCGGGCAAAACGGCGACCCAAAACCCTTTGGCCTTTTTTTTGTTGGGTGTCCTTTGGTTTCCCCTTGAGCACAAGAGGATGGTGCCCTTCTGACCAAAAACCACCGTGCCTTAAAGGGGCGGGGGACTTAGTAAGTGGTGAGTAAGCCTGGTTATAGCCCGCTGAACGGAGACTTATAACTGTGGGAAGTGGGTTCTGAACTTGCTGGTGCTCAGGGAATGTGAAATGGAATGAACCCAGTTGCTTTGGTCCCCTTAGAGGAAACCACCAGTTGGATGGTTTTTTGGGGGGGTCATTCCAGAACTCTCATTCCCTGCATCTCTCGCACCAGCAAGTTGAAAGGTGTTTGAACAAATGGACAGAAAGCGCCGCACAGCTCTGGCTACATTGGCTACAGATGGGTGGATGTTTATGGGTTTCCCCACCCACACGGAGACACACAAACAAAGAAACAAACAAACAAACAAACAAACAAACAAGCGAAACAGGTACGCTCGAAAAGAGATGAGCCAGAAAACAACACTGAAACAAAACCAGAAGAGAAGTTCGACAAACACGAAGAAGACAACGCAAAGCAAACACGGAAAAAAATGGGGGAGAAAAAAAAAAGGAGAAAAAAAAGGGGGAAAAAAGGGAGAGAAAAAAAAGGCGCACACATACACACACACACACACACACACACACACACACACACACACACACACACACACACACACATCCCCCCCCCGGCCTCCCCACCCCCCTCCCCCCCCCCTGCCTCTCACCCCTGCTTTGCCACCCCACCCATCTTGTGATCCAAGTCTCTGATGCTCGAAGGCCAGGAGTAGCGCTGCCTGACCCCGAGCCCCGAGCGACGGCTGGCGGCAGGGCGGCTGGGCGGCTGGCGCATCAACACAGGGCATCAACACATGGCGTGAGCTTCCCGGTTTGGGGGTTAGGGCCGGGGGGACCTCTCCCATTCACCATCCACACACACGGGTTGAAATCCAAATCCAAACCAATTCAAACCACAAGTTGGGGGTTACCCGGTTACCTGAAATGGAAGTGCAGGAAGGTGACCCCGCGTTTCTGCACTAAAAACCAAGCACGGAAAGGAAAAAAAAAGCATGGACACCTCCATTTGGCCACATTGTGGGGAGATGTACAGTAGAGGGGGCTACTTGTTGGCAGTGCAAGCCACGTTGGAAGAGCCGAGGGCTCCCGAAATCTCGAACTTCCGGAGCCCTTACCCCAAGACGGCGGCGTTCAATTGGTGCTCTAAATATGTACATATAAATATATAGTACATGTATTTATCGAAGCAGCCGCTGACTTGGTGATCCGGCTTGGTTTGGAGGTTAGGGTTTGGTTTGCCGTTCAGATCCCGAAACTATCAAAGCCACCCATGGGTAATTTGGAAGAACCAAAGACAGTGCAAGTGAAGCAACCGCAATCCGTGACTCGATGTCATGGCTGTCGTTCCACATACTTGGGGCGCCGGTGTTTAAACCAGTTGTGAACCCGGCCTGGAAAACTGTGGGTGAAGTGGCTTGATCGCTCTCCCCATGTGCCAACACTATTCCCCTCAAAAAAAATACGCCAGGAACCCAAAGAAGAACGCCCCTCTCCAAGGAAGACATCTCCGAATTACTTCACACCACCATACATGTCTTGGTGCACCTGCCTGTGGAAGACGATGCCTTTGCCTTTTGGAGAATGGGACTGTGCCCATGTTGGGAGGGTACCAGCTTTTTGGTTTCCTTCGACCTGTGATGTTCCCTTGAAATCACCAAAACAGGGGGTAGCCAAAAAAAGGCACACGCCCATGCTCATCGGTTTGGCTTCAGGGAATCCAAAAAGGAAGCCAACCAGGGATCTTGTTTGAGAAGAGCCCACATCAACTAAAGCAAGCCGAACGTCTTGGAGCAGACCAAAATATGTGGGTATGGGTCAAGATTAAACCACCAGAAAAACCACAGGTTTTAGTCATTGCTTCCATTTACCAGGGTTCCCATTTTGGGGTTATCCTATTTTTGACCCGCAGCCATATAATATATGGTTGGTTCCCTTTGTGTGCACATGATGAGGTAATTCAGTTTAATAGTACTAGCTGAGGATCAACCAAAACCAGGGTGCCATTTTGGGGTTATCCGATTTTTGACCCACAGCCATGTCACAAGCTGCTCAGTCTCAGCCCACATCTCAAGCCAAAAAGCTGGTACTGACATGCTGGCTATCACAGGGCTTGTCATATACTTCCCGTTAAAACGTCACCCTCTACCAAATGGGCTAAACACAATATGTACATATATATATATATGTGTATATATATATATACATTTCTAAGTGTATATATATATAGCTACTATTGCAAGAGAGCGGGAGAGAGAGAGGGAGAGAGACACGTTTATTCCTAGAGTTTCAAGATAGCGACAGGGGAAGCCGTTGGCAAACCTTTCTCCCCTTCAGGTCTCCCCGCCGAAAGCGCAAGAGCTTCTCTCCTCTCGACAGCGCACTTCCGGCTTTACCTCCAGCACGAGCGCCGGGCGAGGTGGGCCACGGGCTCAAAACCGATTCGGGGGAATGAACCACCCCTGGGTTGAAGCCTACTGCGGGGTAGTCAAAAAGTGGAACCCGGGTATTCTTTTCATGTGAGGAACAATCAAAACCGATTCAAGTAGATGAAGGTTAGGGACACCCAACCATAAATAGTTGCGGCCGCCTTCTTATTTCTTTACATGGTTCTGGGTCAATCATTTTAATACCGGGTTTTGATTGTGACTCAAGTGAGGTCTAATGGGTCTGAGTGAAGCATACTTCACCAGCCGCACTCGGCTTGTCCGTTTTAAGTGAGACAGGGCCAGAGAGAGAGTGTCCTTCAGGCAACTGGTTCGTCAACTCGTCCACCGACAACGAGGGGGTTCACCCCCGAACTTGCAGGCATTTTCGGTCCAACATCTCCCACTGGGGGCCATTTCGGAACCAGCTCACTGAAGTCCGACCATCCGGTGTCGCTCTCCCGTTGACCTCTTGATTGACCCCGAATCTGCTGAAAACCAAATCGAAGCATACCCAGAAGCTGGGGCAAAGTCTGCAAAATCTGACCAAAGTAAAAAGGAAGCAGAGTCACAGCACCACAGAGGCACAACAAAAAACAAACTGTCCGGCAGCCAAGACATCAACAACTCGGCGACCTAACCGAACCCAATTTGAGAGCGAACAAGAAATGCAAGGCAGGTCTTCTCACATCTCCTGAGGTTTCTTCCCCTTATCTCAACGTTCCTTGTCTCTCATTTCTGTTGGGTGAAAGTAGATGGCACACGTTCGGCATTTTCGTTTTGTGATCCGCTGTACCCACATAAAGCAGATTGCGCCACCCACGTTTGACCCGGTGTAAAGCTCCTCATATCTCCTCACAAGGTCTTTCTCCTTGCTATTGCGAGCAAGAACCAGTCACACGGGGTCGCAGATCAGACTGGGGCGGTCACTTAAATCTTCTCACCGAGTTGGAACTCTCCAAAGGTGTCCTAAGAAAGTGACGGTCATCATGACTGCCACCTATTTTCAGCATCGCAAGCTTCTTCTGAACATCTCCGCACTCAAAGTCTTTTAGCCAACTCCACTGCCTCAAAATGTATCGGAAATGCCAACCTGCACAAAAAGGGCATTGCCACTTCACCAGAGACCACTGACACACAAACACAACAACTCAGGCGTGTCTCCACACTACTCTACACATCTCCTGCCAACTAGCGACATCTACATGCTGCCTGCTGGCACAGTGCGGCCAAACTGCTCACGCAGTCACGCAAAAGGGTCGCAGATCAGACTGGGGCGGTCACTTGATTCTTCTCACCGAGTTGGAACTCTCCAAAGGTGTCCTAAGAAAGTGACGGTCATCATTCTTGCCACCTGCACCCAGCCAAGCCCAAAGCCCAAAGCAAGCCAAGTTGAATAACCATCATCCTGTGTTCATCAGGAGCTCATTGCAAGCTTGTCGCAAGCTTTCCAACATGTCACCCAAAGTCTTTGAGCCAATTCCCCCGCCCCAGAATGGGCCGGAAAAGCTAACCTGCGCAAAAGGGAATTGCCACTTCACCCCAGACCACTCACACACAACCACAACAACTCAGGCGCGTCTCCACACTACTCTACACAACATCTACGTGCTGCCTGCGCACAGTGCGGCCAAACAGCTCACGCAGTCACGCAAAAGGGTCGCAGATCAGACTGGGGCGGTCACTTGAATCTTCTCACCGAGTTGGAACTCTCCAAAGGTGTCCTAAGAAAGTGACGGTCATCATTCTTGCCACCTGCACCCAGCCAAGCCCAAAGCCCAAAGCAAGCCAAGTTCAACAACCATCATCCTGTGTTCATCGGGAGCTCATTGCAAGCTTATCGCAAGCTTTCCAACATGTCACCCAAAGTCTTTGAGCCAATTCCACCGCCCCAGAATGGGCCGGGAAAGCAAACCTGCGCAAAAGGGAATTGCCACTTCACCCCAGACCACTCACACACAACCACAACAACTCAGGCGTGTCTCCACTACTCTACACGACGTCTACGTGCTGCCTGCGCACAGTGCGGCCAAACAGCTCACGCAGTCACGCAAAAGGGTCGCAGATCAGACTGGGGCGGTCACTTGAATCTTCTCACCGAGTTGGAACTCTCCAAAGGTGTCCTAAGAAAGTGACGGTCATCATTCTTGCCACCTGCACCCAGCCAAGCCGAAAGCCTAAGGCAAGCCAAGCTCGCTCTTCGAAAGTTTGTCGGAAGCATATCAAAAGCTCATCAACAAAGCCCTCTGGGATCAGTTTGCCGCACGTCCTGCAGCAAGACAATGTCCAGCCCGGAAATTTCGGAAATGTGGGTTGATGTGGAAAAACCGGCGTGTTCAAGCAGCTGGCGCAGCAAGAAAGATTGAACCATTGTTCGCTTTGGTTCTGGATGATTAATTACAAGACCACGCATCAACTCAGCTGCATTTGGCAAGCTTTCTGAGTGCGTGAGTCATCCTGGGAAGAATATAAAGAGAAAATCATCATACGGCTCGTACTAGTGCAGTACGCGTGTCGCAAATCAGACTGGGGCGGTCACTTGAATCTTCTCACCGAGTCGGAACTCTCCAAAGGTGTCCTAAGAAAGTGACGGTCATCATTCTTGCCACCTGCACCCAGCCAAGCCCAAAGCCCAAAGCAAGCCAAGTTCAACAACCATCATCCTGTGTTCACCAGGAGCTCATTTCAAGTTTGTCGGAAGCTTATCAACATGTCACCCAAAGTCTTTGAGCCAACTCCACTGCCCCAGCATGGGCCGGAAAAGCAAACCTGCGCAACAGGGCATTGCCACTTTACCCCAGACCGCTCACGCTACCACACCAACACCTTGGCCTGACAACTAGCCACATCTATTTGCTGGCTGCTGGCACAGTGCGGCAAAACAACTCACGCAGTCGCATGCAAGGGTCGCAGATCAGACTGGGGCGGTCACTTGAATCTTCTCACCGAGTTGGAACTCTCCAAAGGTGTCCTAAGAAAGTGACGGTCATCATTCTTGCCACCTGCACCCAGCCAAGCCCAAAGCCCAAAGCGAGCCAAGTTCAACAACCATCATCCTGTGTTCATCGGGAGCTCATTGCAAGCTTATCTCAAGCTTATCAACATGTCACCCAAAGTCTTTGAGCCAATTCCCCCGCCCCAGAATGGGCCGGAAAAGCTAACCTGCGCAAAAGGGAATTGCCACTTCACCCCAGACCACTCACACACAACCACAACAACTCAGGCGTGTCTCCACACTACTCTACACGACGTCTACGTGCTGCCTGCGCACAGTGCGGCCAAACAGCTCACGCAGTCACGCAAAAGGGTCGCAGATCAGACTGGGGCGGTCACTTGAATCTTCTCACCGAGTTGGAACTCTCCAAAGGTGTCCTAAGAAAGTGACGGTCATCATTCTTGCCGCCTGCACCCAGCCAAGCCGAAAGCCTAAAGCAAGCCAAGCTCGCTCTTCGAAAGTTTGTCGGAAGCATATCAAAAGCTCATCAACAAAGCCCTCTGAGATCAGTTTGCCGCACGTCCTGCAGCAAGACAATGTCCAGCCCGGAAATTTCGGAAATGTGGGTTGATGTGGAAAAACCAGCGTGTTCAAGCAGCTGGCGCAGCAGGAAAGATTGAACCATTGTTCGCTTTGGTTCTGGATAGATTACTTACAAGACCACGCATCAACTCAGCTGCATTTGGCAAGCTTTCTGAGTGCGTGAGTCATCCTGGGAAGAATATAAAGAGAAAATCCTCCAGTGTACCATCGCCGTTGCCATTGTCTAACAAAAGCCATCATACGGCTCAGACTGGTGCAGTCATACTCGTGTCGCAAATCAGACTGGGGCGGTCACTTGAATCTTCTCACCGAGTTGGAACTCTCCAAAGGTGTCCTAAGAAAGTGACGGTCATCATTCTTGCCACCTGCACCCAGCCAAGCCCAAAGCCCAAAGCAAGCCAAGTTCAGCAACCATCATCCTGTGTTCACCAGGAGCTCATTTCAAGCTTATCGGAAGCTTATCAACATGTCACCCAAAGTCTTTGAGCCAACTCCACTGCCCCAGAATGGGCCGAAAAAGCAAACCTGCGCAAAAGGGCATTGCCACTTCACCCCAGACCCCTCACGCTACCACAACAACACCTTGGCCTGACAACTAGCCACATCTACTTGCTGGCTGCTGGCACAGTATGGCAAAACAACTCACGCAGTCGCATGCAAGGGTCGCAGATCAGACTGGGGCGGTCACTTGAATCTTCTCACCGAGTTGGAACTCTCCAAAGGTGTCCTAAGAAAGTGACGGTCATCATTCTTGCCGCCTGCACCCAGCCAAGCCGAAAGCCTAAAGCAAGCCAAGCTCAGCACCGCTCTTCGAAAGTTTGTCGGAAGCATATCAAAAGCTCATCAACAAAGCCCTCTGGGATCAGTTTGCCGCACGTCCTGCAGCAAGACAATGTCCAGCCCGGAAATTTCGGAAATGTGGGCTGATGTGGAAAAACCGGCGACCACGCATCAACTCAGCTGCATTTGGCAAGCTTTCTGAGTGCGTGAGTCATCCTGGGAAGAATATAAAGAGAAAATCCTCCAGTGTTGCATCGCCGTTGCCATTGTCTCACATAAGCCATCATACGGCTCAGACTGGTGCAGTACGCGTGTCGCAAATCAGACTGGGGCGGTCACTTGAATCTTCTCACCGAGTTGCAACTCTCCAAAGGTGTCCTAAGAAAGTGACGGTCATCATCCTTGCCAACTGCACCCAACCAAGCCCAAAGCCCAAAGCAAGCCAAGTTCAACAACCATCATCCTGTGTTCACCAGGAGCTCATTTCAAGTTTGTCGGAAGCTTATCAACATGTCACCCAAAGTCGTTGAGCCAACTCCACTGCCCCAGAATGGGCCGGAAAAACAAACCTGCGCAACAGGGACCTACCACTTCACACGAGACCACTCATGCTACCACAACAACTCAGGCGTGTCTCCACACTACTTTAAAC